TGGCCACTTTATTAGAAACACCTACCTTGTGCTTCCACTCACTGGACACTTTATTAGAAACACCCATCTTGTGCTTCCACTCACTGGCCACTTTATTAGAAACACCTACCTTGTGCTTCCACTCTCTGGCCACTTTATTAGAAACACCCACCTTGTGCTTCCACTCACTGGCCACTTTATTAGAAACACCTACCTTGTGCTTCCACTCACTGGCCACTTTATTAGAAACACCCACCTTGTGCTTCCACTCACTGGCCACTTTATTAGAAACACCCTACCTTGTGCTTCCACTCACTGGCCACTTTATTAGAAACACCCACCTTGTGCTTCCACTCACTGGCCACTTTATTAGAAACACCCACCTTGTGCTTCCACTGACTGGCCACTTTATTAGAAACACCTACCTTGTGCTTCCACTCACTGGCCACTTTATTAGAAACACCTACCTTGTGCTTCCACTCACTGGCCACTTTATTAGAAACACCCATCTTGTGCTTCCACTCACTGGCCACTTTATTAGAAACACCTACCTTGTACTTCCACTCACTGGACACTTTATTAGAAACACCCATCTTGTGCTTCCACTCACTGGCCACTTTATTAGAAACACCTACCTTGTGCTTCCACTCACTGGCCACTTTATTAGAAACACCCACCTTGTGCTTCCACTCACTGGCCACTTTATTAGAAACACCTACCTTGTGCTTCCACTCACTGGCCACTTTATTAGAAACACCCACCTTGTGCTTCCACTCACTGGCCACTTTATTAGAAACACCTACCTTGTGCTTCCACTCACTGACCACTTTATTAGAAACACCTCCCTTGTGCTTCCACTAACTGGACACTTTATTAGAAACACCCACCTTGTGCTTCCACTGACTGGCCACTTTATTAGAAACACCTACCTTGTGCTTCCACTCACTGACCACTTTATTAGAAACACCTACCTTGTTCTTCCACTCACTGGCCACTTTATTAGAAACACCCACCTTGTGCTTCCACTCACTGGACACTTTATTAGAAACACCCACCTTGTGCTTCCACTCACTGGCCACTTTATTAGAAACACCTACCTTGTGCTTCCACTCACTGGCCACTTTATTAGAAACACCCACCTTGTGCTTCCACTCACTGGCCACTTTATTAGAAACACGCACCTTGTGCTTCCACTCACTGGCCACTTTATTAGAAACACCTACCTTGTGCTTCCACTCACTGGCCACTTTATTAGAAACACCCACCACCACCAACTGGTCACTTTATTAGAAACACCCACCACCAACAACTGGCCACTTTATTAGAAACACCACTTTTTGCTTCCACTCACTGGCCCCTTTATTAGAAACACTTACCCTTACAGGTCCACTACACAGGTGTACAATTACAGAGTGTAGCCTGTGAATCAGCAGATGGGCTACAGTCTAAACACATGCAAGGTGGAGCTACAAGGACTGGGTTTCCGATAAAGCGGCCGGTGGGTGTATGCTGTAATATCAGAGCTATAATGAAAACCTGTGTTTGCTCCTGAGCCTCCTCCGTGCTTTTAGTGACTGCACACGTACTGCTACTGTGTTGAACAGATAATCATGACAACAGCACCCGTCACCTACGTGTCCCGTTGCTGCTGGGTGACCTTCACGGCCCCCACAGAGCAGAAACGGTAGGGGGGACGGTGGGCAGAGAGGAAGAACAGCGACTGCCAGTCACTGCCTAATGTTCCAGACAGATTGGCCATTAGGAAACGCTTCAATGCTGCCAGTGGCAGACAGGCTTTGACTTTAAAGCCCTGTTAACTTTTATGAGGGTTCTTTAAGGAAAAACATTAGACTCTTTATAGCCGCCCTCTAGAGGATGGCCTGATTTATTCCTAGGCAACACTGGAGCCCACATTAATTTAGGTATGTTCTGTTGGAGTTTAATGACGCGTTGTGAGATAACACAAAAGGAAGATGACAACTTGATTACATTAAGGCAGACAACCTTACCTTATGTTCTTCAGACCATCATCCGTTTCTGACAGCGGGGAGATGGAGGTCTTTTGTCCTAATGAACGAGTGAATGAGAGAACAAGAAAATGAATGAATAATAATATGAATAATCAGATTTCAAAGGGCTCATATCAAAGAATTCTTTTCGCTTATTTTTTTTTAATAAAAGTGCCATGTTGTATGTAAACACTGTTAAAGTTCCTAAACATATCATTCATTTCCAAGTCTACTCAGTCCACATACACAAAGATCACCCCCAATTTTAACCTATTTTTTGTGATGTCACAAAAAAACAATGCATTTACATATACCCTACTAGGCACAATGCAGGGAGCGAATCAGTACAGATCTCATTTACATATACACCAATCAGGCATAACATTATGACCACCTCCTTGTTTCTACGCTCATTGTCCATTTTATCAGCTCCACTTACTATATAGGTGCACTTTGTAGTTCTACAGTTACAGACTGTAGTCCATCTGTTTCTCTGCAGACTTTGTTAGCCCCCTTTTACCCTGTTCTTCAGTGGTCTGGACCCCCATGGACCCTCACAGAGCAGGTACTATTTGGGTGGATCATCCTCAGCACTGCAGTGACACTGACGTGGTGGGTGGTGTGTTAGTGTGTGTTGTGCTGGTGCGAGTGGATCAGACTCAGCAGTGCTGCTGGAGTTTTTAAACACTGTGTCCACTCACTGTCCACTCTATTAGACACTCCTACCTCGTCAGTCCACCTTGTAGACGTAAAGTCAGAGACAATAGCTCATCTGCTGCCGCACAGTTTGTGTTGGTCATCCTCTAGTCCTTCATCAGTGGTCACAGGACGCTGCCCACAGGACGCTGTTGGCTGGATATTTTTGGTTGGTGGACTATTCTCAGTCCAGCAGTGACACTGAGGTGTTTAAAAACTCCAGCAGCACTGCTGTGTCTGATCCACTCAGACCAGCGCAACACACACTAACACACCACCACCACGTCAGTGTTACTGCAGTGCTGAGAATGATCCACCACCCAAATAGTACCTGCTCTGTGAGGGTCCATGGGGGTTCTGACCACTGAAAAACAGGGTAAAAGGGGGCTAACAAAGTATGCAGAGAAACAGATGGACTACAGTCTGTAACTGTAGAACTACAAAGTGCACCTATATAGTAAGTGGAGCTGATAAAATGGACAATGAGCGCAGAAACAAGGAGGTGGTCAGAATGTTATGCCTGATCGGTGTGTGAGTTTTAAAGGTACAGTCACAGGTAAACTGCTAGAGATGTGTGAAAATATTCATGAAAAATTAATTCAAAGTTGTGCAACATAAACAAATCATCACAAGTGCACACGAGTTGGACGTTCAACACATTTCAATCCTGCAATTCAACAAAATAACACAAACGTTGGATATGGGCCCTTTAAACAAGCCAGCGTGTTGTTCTGTTTCACAAGTAGACAGAAATAAAAACACAGAAAAGGAGTATTTCTTGTAGCCATGACCACAAGTGACCCTACAGCAACATCTGGCCTCAGAAATACCTTCTTCATTCCGTTCGTGGAGACCTTTCGCTGAGGTGAAGGAGTTTTGAAGAAGCTGAAGCTTCCGCTCTGTCATGCTCCTCTTCTTTTATGCAGTAGGTGAAAGTTCTGTTTATTCCTCTGACACGAGGGTTTGTTTGTGACAGCCACACAAACACACCTTCAGGGCCAAACGCACACCCCAACAAACACAGCATGTCTGCTTTGATGCACGGCCTCGTGTACACGTCTCCTCCGGCTCTGTCAGTGTCAGCCACGTAAAGGTCTGTCCTTTTAAAGGGATGAGAAAACTTTACAGGTTAGCAGTTCAATTTATTTATTCTCTGTATATATTTTCTGTATCTTTGTACATGAATTTTAACAAGGATTTGGACATATGCTACAAGTACATAACAACAACAACAACAACAACAACAACAATAATAATAATAATAATAATAATAATAGCTAGAAAAGTGCACTTCCTGAAGAAAATGCAGTGATTGCACAGATTAAGCTATTCCCAGTATGTTCCCCTGGTGGTTGCTATGGTAACCTTAGTGGTTGCTAGGGTGTTGTTAGGTGGTTGCAATAGTACCTCAGGTGGTTGCTAGGATGTTGCTAGGGTATCTCTGGTGGTTGCTAGGGTGTTGTGAGGTGGTTGCAATGGTGTCTCAGGTAGTTGCTAGGATGTTGTTAGATGGTTGCTATGGTATCTCTGGTGGTTGCTAGGGTGTTGTTAGGTGGTTGCAATATTATCTCAGGTGGTTGATAGGATGTTGGTAGGGGGTTGCTATGGTATCCCTAGTGGTTGCTAGGGTGTTGTTAGGTGGTTGCAGTGGTATCTCATGTGGTTGCTCGGATGTTGCTAGATGGTTGCTATGGTATTTCTGGTGGTTGCTAGGGTGTTGTGAGGTGGTTGCAATGGTGTCTCAGGTGGTTGCTAGGATGTTGGTAGATAGTTGCTATGGTATCCCTGGTGGTTGCTAGGGTGTTGTAGGTGATTGCTAGGATGTTGCTAGATGGTTGCTATGGTATCTCTGGTGGTTGCTAGGGCATGGCTAGGCGGTTGCAATAGAATTTTAGGTGATTGCTTGGGTGTTACTAGATGGGTGCTATGGTATTTCAGATAGGGTGTTTCTAGAGTGTTGGTAAGCAGCTTGTATGTTATCCCAGGTGGTTGCTAGGGTGTTGCTAGGTGGTTTATCCCAGGCTGTTGGTTGATGGTTGCTGTGGTAGTTCACACAGTTGCTAGGGTGTTGCTAGGTGGTTGCTAGGGTGTTGCTAGATGGTTGCTAGGGTATCCCTGGTGTTTGCTAGCGTGTTGGTAGGTGGTTGCAATGGTATCTCAGGTGGTTGCAAGGATGTTGGTAGATGGTTGCGAAGGTATCCCTGGTGGTTGCTAGGGTTTTGCTAGATGGTTGTTATGGTATACCACATGGTATAATAAGAGGGGTGCACAAAGCTTTGACCACATAGTTCTGCCATTCGTTCCTATGGAAACCGTACGTCCAGTCAAAAAGCTGTATACCCACATCCCAAAGTCAGACAGAAGAATCTGGAGTTGGTTTGATGTTGCTATCTTGAAAACCGTGGGATGAATCAATGAACAAAAAAAATCACAGAAAAATAAGGGAAAAGAAAAGGAGATGGAGAAATATATAATTCTGATAATGATGGTGTTGATCACTAATAGTAGATATAAGGGGGCGTAAAAACAGAGTTTAGTCATGATGGAAACACTTTATTTTGATAGTTTTCTGCAGATGCTTTAGTTATCAGGGATGTTAAAGCTTCTCTTCTGAAGAGATGAGAACACATCAGTATGCAGGTGAGCAATTAGCATTTATTTCTTTTCTACAGTAAATTGCATGGAAAAAAAAGAGGAAGAAAAAAGTCAAACACACTCACACAAACACACACAGTGACACACTGAATACATTTCTGCTCTATTCTTCTAACTAAAAAGTCAACTAATGGAGGCCCGGTGCTGCGGCAAGACGGCCCGAAACCCTTTTAAAATGTGCACAGCGACCTTTTCTCCTTTTACTGAGGCTGTGACCCCTTTTCAAAAAAGGGCACCTATGAATACACTTCAAAACACACCGTTCTTTATCTACACTAACTGCATTTCCAACACTGATGGCCCTCCATGCACAACAGGAAACATGCAGAGCTCTAAAAACACTAAAATATTCTGTAATGCACTGCTTACCGGACCGTTGGAGAGGCTGGATATATTCCCTGCTGAAATGATACCTTATAAAGTGAAATCATCTTAATACTAGTGAATTTATTATGGGAATCTCATTATGGGATTGTTCGGTAACGCTTTACTGAAGGGCAGCGTTCATAAGGCTACATGATGCCTTCATAAGCCATATGGTTTATGTGAGTTATCATGAAAAGCTTACATAGGTAGCCCTATGAAACTACAAGAGCTTTACATGAGCTTGGCTATCTGACAAAAGCAGGAGACGATGTTACCAATAGGAAGGTTTCCAAGGTGGTTGCCAGGGTGTTGTTAGGTGGTTGCTATGGTATCGCTGGTGGTTGCTAGGGTGTTTTTAGGTTTTTGCTATGGCATCCCTGATCGTTACTAGGGTGTTGCTAAATGGTTCCAATGTTATACCAAGGAGCTACTAGAGTTTCTGCTTAGTTGCTGTGGTACCTCTGGTGGTTGCCAGGGTGTTGCTAGATGGTTGCTATGGTATCCCTGGTGGTTGCTAGGGTGTTGATAAATGGTTCCCATGTTATCCCAGAGAGCTGCTACAGTTTCTGACTGGTTGCTAGGGTGTTGTTAGGTGGTTGCTATGGTATCCTTGGAGGTTGCTAGGGTGTTGTAAGGTTTTTGCTATGGCATCCCTGGTGGTTGCTAGAGTGTTGTTAGGTGGTTGCTATGGTATCCCTGGTCGTTGCTAGGGTGTTGTAAGGTTTTTGCTATGGCATCCCTGGTGGTTGCTAGAGTGTTGTTAGGTGGTTCCTATGGTATCCCTGGTCGTTACTAGGGTGTTGCTAAATGGTTCCAATGTTATCCCAGGGAGCTCCTAAAGCTTCTGACTGGTTGCTATGGTACCTCTGGTGGTTGATAGGGCTGTTACTAGATGGTTGCTATGGTATCCCTGGTGGTTGCTAGGGTGTTGTTAAATGGTTCCAATGTTATACCAGGGAGCTCCTAAAGCTTCTGACTGGTTGCTATGGTACCTCTGGTGGTTGATAGGGCTGTTACTAGATGGTTGCTGTGGTATCCCTGGCGGTTGCTAAGGTGTTGCTAAATGGTTCCAATGTTATCCCAGGGAGATGCTAGAGCTTCTGACTGGTGGCTATTGTACCTCTGGCAGTTGCTAGGGTGTTGCTAGATGGTTGCTATGGTATCCCTGGTTGTTGCTAGGGTGTTGCTTAATGGGTCCCATGTCATCCCAGGAAGCTGCTAGGGTTTTTGACTGGTTGCTATTGTACCTCTGGTGGTTGCTAGGGTGTTACTAGATGGTTGCTATGGTATCCCTGGTGGTTGCTAATGTGTTGCAAAATGGTTCCAATGTTATCCCAGGAAGATGCTAGAGCTTCTGACTGGTTGCTATTGTACCTTTGGCGGTTGCTAGGGTGTTGCCAGATGGTTGCTATGGTATCCCTGGTTGTTGCTATGGTATCCCAAGGGTGTTGCTAAATGGTTCCCATGTTATTCCAGGGAGCCACTAGGGTTTCTGACTGGTTTATTATACCTCTGGTGGTTGCTAAGGTGTTGCTAGGTGGCTGTAACATGACTAACATGACAAATAACAATGCATGTTTTAGAACGAAAGGCTCCTTTAAGCATTGTTTCTTGAAAAGTAAAATCACCTGAGATTAAATTACTTAAAACACTGAAAAAAGTCCATAAATAATTTGAAAACTCTTCTATTAGCCTCCGAATTAGAAACATTAGCTATACCTACTAGATTTAAGATGAGTTCACGTATCAAGATATCATGTGCAGTGTTGCCTTGGATTTCCTGTTCACAGTGAGAAGTAACACGTTTTGTTGTCTCCATATATATATGATATGATATAACCTCATAACTCACTTTTTAAATATTATTCCCACCATTTGACTGCACATTACATTGTGTGAATATTTCATAATGAACGGACCAACAGAAATGCTTAAAAATTGCCTAGAATAAAATCTTGTTACATCAAAGTTTCCTCACACGAATAAGTTATCGTTAGACCCTTTTGTCACGACGGCAACGCAAGGCAAAGGTGTAAATCTGTTAACCGTGTTCAGCTACAAACTCAGCTCACGGTGTCTGAGGTAAAATCTAAAAAAAAGACAGCGCTCTGTATTCTGCTGCTGTAAACTGAAATAAAAACCCCTACAGTAAGAGAAAAGTGAGAGAAGCGTAAGTTTTAAAAATAGATGTAAGAGTTCACGGTAGTTTGTCAGAGGGCAAGGGGTGAAAAAGCGCCTAAGCAGAAAAGAAATCCCACGTTGGGCAGATTTAGCTGAGAGTGGTGGTCCGTTAGGACAGCGGTGGGCGTTTTGAAGACACACAGAGAGAAAGTCCAGCGCTGGTGGAGACGCAGGCCGTTTAGCTGACGGAGCAGGGGTCGTCCTTGCTGGGCTTCACCTCGCCCTGCAGCAGCTGGATCATCACGACTTTAGTCAGGTAGCTGGAGGTGCCTTTCTTCCCCAAGGCTGGCGTGTTATAGAACGCCTCCATGTCCTCCTACAGAGAAAAAACAACCAGAACAATGTTTATACTTTTATAATACAATTTAATTCATTGTACTACCACACAATGTAGCGCCGATAGAATGGGATATTTAGGAGCAGCTGCACAAGAGCATTACGTCACCATGGCCAATGCCAGGAGGATTAAAAAAGCCCTAGTATTGGGCTGTGGAGCAGTGGAACTGTGTTCTCTGGAGTGATGGAGCTCCATCCAATACGTTTGGGATGAGTTGGAGTGACCCAGAACCGACCATCCAACATCAGTACCTGACCTCACTAATGCTCAATCAAATCCTCACAGCAATGTATAACATCTAAAGCCTTCCCAGAAGAGTAGAGGCTGTTACTGCAGCACAGACTCACCATTAACACCTTCATGAAATGCAGGACTTATTCCCACCTAAGTGCTAGGTTGAGCTTATTGGGTCATTTTTTTGGACTATTAGCCCAGTAATTGCCCCGTTAGCGCCTTGGTCAATATCAGTGACAATGCAAACACAGACACCACCCCCTTTCCCCCTCTCTTCCAACTGCTGAGTCAAATTAAATTCTAGTTATTATGAACCAAAAGAATCAACTCACTGGATCAGATGAACTCAGCGTGAGTTCTGTTCAAAATTCTGCCCAAATTCATTTTAAGTCCCAGCACTTTTCAGAGTAAATCAGCTAGATTATGAATAAAACTTACAATAAAATAAACCGTAGTACTACTACACACACCCACACCACACATGATCTAAGCCGCTTATCCTTCTGGGTCGTTGAGGTGGGGCTGAGCCTATCCCAGCATTCATTGGGTGGGATAGCATGTCCAGTTGGCCTGACTGCATGTCTCTGGACTGTGGGAGTAAACCCACGCAGACACAGGGAGAACATGCAAACTCCACACAGAAAGGAACCTGGTTACCCGGCCGGGGAATCGAACCCAGGCCCTTCGTGCAGTGAGGCAGTACTACTACTATTTCTCATAATAATAACTCAGAGCAGGCTGGAGAAGAGCGGTTTTGTGGCTGTTATAATGAAAGAATGTACTCACCTGTTTCTCAGTCCTCTCAGGTCGGCCACGGTCTTTCTGGAAGTCTGCGAAGGCATCTTTAACCAAACGGTCCAGATCCACCGACTCCTGGAACTCCAGCTCTGGGTTTCTCTCCAGAACAATCGACACCACCATCAGCAGCTGCAGGGAGGATAAATATTATATAGGCATCTGGGTGTGATGTCCCAACTGAAATGTGTCAATTACATCCAAACACTTTGCTGAACAGAAGTATGCACACCTTCTGCTGTCTGAAGTTTGCTTGCACTGGACAAGGCGAAGAGATAACGGATGCTTGCGCCCCACCGATTAGCATCATGCCTGTTTATTCACACAAAACTATGCTGCATAGCTAAAAGCAGTAAAAGTAGCTTTGAAGTCATCTTTAAGATGAACATTTTTGTCCATACTTCTGTCCATTTTTATAGATAATGTATAACACGTTCTTGTATGTAAGTATGATAAATATTGTTGGTATTGGAACGAAACCTTTTTCAACTTTTGTCTTTTTTTTGTAACAATTTGAAAGTTTCCCTTAAATACTGTGTGAAAATGTTATGATCAGAATGCTAGAAATGTTTTTAATTTTTGTAAGAAAATCTCTCCACACTAATTCACATTGAAAGTTAAGGGTTCTTCCTTCTCCTGTAAAGGTCTGCAGGTATAAGGATGTGCTCTGACAGCCACAATGTGAGTTACTCTTATTTGTTTGAGAAGTGTGAACTAAAGCTTCGGCTCTACTGTGTATAAACCTGACACAGCTGTGAAGCTTGAGGTACAGTGTGTGCAGCAGACCGGCTCACCTCCACTATAATCTGCCTGTATTCAGGCAGTATGATGTTCTTCAGCGTGTCCTCCACCAGCAGGGAGAAGTTCATCTCATACATGGTCATATCCGACAGAGTGGGTTGCTGCAGATAAACAACAAGAAAATGAGTTTAATTATCAGCAGTGGAGCAGACGCAGCGATGTAGCTCCAGCTGAGGCGTAAAATATTTATCACAGCGTGAGAGCTGTGAAATACTCTCCTCTTCCCGAACAAGAGGATGAAGTGGACACAGACGTACAGTTATTGGCCATTTTGTCAGAAACACCTCTTTGTTTTTTTGCACTTTGTAGGTTTACAGTTACAGACAGTAGCCCACCTGCTACTACACAATTATCAGCCCCCCTCTATCTCATTCATCAATGGAAATGAACCAAGATAAGACCACCAGATTATTTAGGTGTTGGACCATCCAAATATTTGGAAATATGAATAGCCCCACCAGCATGGGGCAGTAGACAGTATGGACATACCATTCAATTTTTGCAATGACCGGCCAATTCTAAGTGTGTCAAAAACATTACAAAGCAGCTAATTTACATTTCTCAGGCTTTTTAAGCTTACATCAGTATAGCCCCGCCCATTCAAGTCATAAGGAGTGTTTCAGCCTAATGCAGTGTCCAATCAGAACAGAGGTCATTTACATTTAGGTACCCACCACAAAACAGCCTGTTTACCTCTAAAAGACCAATAGAGGGTGTAAAATGGTCGTGACTTACGATCACACATACAGTACAGTGCAAAAGTCTTAAGCAGCCAAAAAAAAGTGTTTTCTTGCCAATAAGAACACTACATTATAAACATTCAATACATTAAATATTTTAAAAATAATATTGTAAATAAAAATATTTTCTTAATGACTTGGCCCTGTGAGGACATTTGATTTGGCCAGAAGGTTACTCTAACCCCACCCCCTCACCCAGTGAGAGAACAAACAGATTTCTATACTCTAAATAACTTATTAAATTCTCATTTTCTTTTTAAAGTTGTATTTTTGGAAGTGACAAAAGTGACAAAACATAGTGCAATGTTACAAAATAAACTTTAAAATATATTTTTCACACTGCTTTTTATTCTGGCCTTCGATCCGACATAAATATTGCAAGACTAGAAGTTTGAGCACCCTTGAACTAAAGTTTAGAGGAACACAGGTTTGGCTGCACTCCAGCCTTCGCATGGATTTGTTCAGTTCCATCAGCAGCACCTGATTTAGATTAATGAAGGATTGATTAGATAAACAGGGTGTTGGATGGTGACTGTAAACACCGAACTTCCTCCAGCAGAGCTTTGGAAATGGCTAAACTAACTCTCACAAAACGATCCCAGTGGATAGTTTATTTGTTTATTTCGTATTTTTTTTAATGTTAGACATGCAATATTTCATCTTTCTCAGGTTTGATAAGTTGGAACACGCATAAACAACATTTGAAAAAAATGCTATCAAAAACTACAGAGATTTTTATTCAACTATTCACACCAAACTGTAATAAATCTGACTAAATAAAACCAACTACAGTCTCTTTTTTTACAAAAAATGAGCTTTTTAAGTACTTCAGATATCCACAGTATGCTCAGATTGGGCACCGTTGAATGCTGTAACATAATCTGTCATGATACAGTAAAATATTGTCCCTGAAATTGCTAAATTGAACAGACTGTATTTTGTTGGTCCAACATTCTGTATGCTATTATTTTTCACATCACTGGAAAAAACAACTGAGAGAACCAGACCATTTAAATGCCATTTAATATTGAATTTTAAACAGCTTGCAAAATAATATTAAGTATTAAAAGCTGTAAAATTATGTAAATGTAATACTTAATGGTCTCCCAAAGACATCTAAAGCTGAATTTCAAAGCACCTCCACTATAATGACAGAATATGTAAAAACATGTGGACGTGGCTTTGGAACTCCCATCTAGCAGTATTAAGTTTCTCCAGCAGGGGGTGTAATTTGCCCACAAGTTCTATTAAATTTTATTAAATCAAATCATGTTAAAGAGCATGTAAGCTAAAGACTATATAAAACTGTGTGGACTGTGTTCGTGATTCATTGCTTGAACTACAGACTGTATATAAGTTTATATACCTTTAAATACAATAACTATATATATGTGTGTGTGTGTGTATGTGTGTGTGTGTGTGTGATGAGTTAGTATAAGGTGTACCTGAACACCTGGCTGCTCATTATATAATTAGTTTACCTGGGGAAGGTGACGGCCGGCCACCATGATGCCATTACGAGTTCTCTCCAAAATCTGCCACACGCGATCGTAAAAGCCGAGCGGAGTTCGGTTCAGGGAGCCGTCTATCTGCCTTCGATTCAGCCACGATCTGAGGAGGAAACAAGTTCAAATTAATTTCATTTAAAATCTGAATGCAATTTAAAGTCAGACGTATCTAAAGACCTGCAAAGAGAACTGAACTACACTGGCAAGCAGACCCGTATTTAAAGACTGGGAAAGTGTCTGCGAGCCTCACTCAGCTCAAATGAATGAAACAGTGATAAAAGATCCAGTGAAATTACATCACAGCGAGTGTGAAATTGCCAAAAAAAGAGGTCAATCCAATATTTGTTCAGGGAAATTAATAATTAACCCTTGTAACCTTTAAAAAAAAACTAAAATCAAATTACTCCCAACAAGACATTTAAATTTTAATTATGTGTAGAGCTGGCAGGTATCTATGGAAACGGAGCCAGACGGTGGAGCTGTGTCTACCTGCCGGTCTGCTGGGGTTGGAGCACATCTAGAAGCAGCTGTTTGACGTCGCTGGGGGACAACTGGTAGATGTCCTGGGCACGCATGCCCCCAGCACGGATCTCCAACTCGTGTTTCATAGCCTGAACGATCCACCTGAACCAAAAACAGCGAATCAGACCGCACTTTCTGTTTCTGCTCCCTTTCTATGTTCATGTTTATGGCTAGAGGTGGACAATATAGCACAAATGCTGTGTAGAGAATATTGTAGCTTCATTTCAGTTAAATAATTAACATGTCATTTGACTGTTGGCGCCCAAACTTCTGCATAATACTGTATAATATCAAAATACTTCCACACTATTTTGATACGTTGAAAGAGACACAATGCACCAGTACATTTACATAAAAAGAAACGTGCTGTGTAACACAAGAGTGTTAGATAATAGTATGAAGAGCCTCACTGCTCAGGAGCCTGTGGTTCGTCAGCATTATGAAAATACGTTATATGAAATATGTTATCGTGTCGTAATTTATTGTACCAAATAATACATATAATACAAAATAATATTAAGTATTAAGAGATGTAAAATTAATCGGAAGCTGAATTCCAAGGCACCTATGCTTTGGAATTTCCAATGAATGGAAATGACTTAACACTTGTGTGGCCACGTAAGGTGGATGTAGCTTTGGAACGTCCATCTAGCAGTCTAACTTTTCTCCAGCAGAGGGAGTAATTTGCAAATTTTAATGTGAACACAGGCTGTGTTTGTGATTCATTGCTTATATATATATATATATATATATATATATATATATAAAGAAAACCATGAAGAAGCAAAACAAAATCTTGCCAGGTGATGGCAGAAAACCTGACGGCCGCCGTAGGTTCTACTCCACGCTATAGTGTCAGTAATAAATAAAAAAACACTGCTACTTTAATAATAATATGCTTCGAGTGCATCTGTGCTGAGAACAAATGAAACAAACATAGTTTTTAATCACTATTTCTCATTTTCATTATCAGTCAGATTATGTGTTAAGATTTTAAAACTTCTTTGCATTTTTTGGCTTTTTTTTCAACCACTTTCCGCTACAAAAGTCTTTGGTGGCCGAAATTTTGGTGGATCCCAAATTGTGCTAATGATGTATAGTCACATCACTCACCTCTATATAAACGAAAAAAAAATAAAGACTGTAACAGTGTGAACTAGAATATAATGTCAATATCTAATCCATAGCTAACACTAATAATCTACATAGCAGTCAACTGTCCAATTACTAATGGTCACCTGAAATGAAGGACTACCAAACTGCTACAGTTCAAATACGGGTGACCCAATAGAGATGTGACGATTATCCTTATAGTCATTTGTTTCAAATGAAATGCACCAGAGTACAGAGGCAAAACTTTTCATTTTCCAGTTACTGTGCAAAATGAAATACTCTATTTAGTTTTGCACAGTAACTGAATATTTTCTTGTAAGGAGTCAAGAGGATAAAGAAACAGTTTGGCCAAAAATCTAATTTACGCTACTGCGTCAGTCAAATATATTCGGCATTTTAAATCTGGGGATTCAAGGAAGTGTCTTAAAGAAAATCTTCTTAAATGTGTTTTTTCTGGACTTCATTCTTAAGAAAGAAGTTATGAGGAAATGCTATTATCTTGTGTATCTTGAGTCGCTTACAGTACACAGTAAAATGTAACACAAAAAAAATGAAGATTTTTCTAAGAGAATAATTGAGAACTTGAGTTTTTTTCAAGAATTGCATTTAAGAACATTCCTATGAACTTCTTAGTGTTTATCTTCAGTACCTTCCCAAGTTTTTTTAAAGAAAGCTTTCGTGAATTCGACCCCAGCTTCTTTAGTTTTACGCTGGAGTTACGATGCTAATGTAGCTAACAAGCGATGGAAGCTTAAGCCTCACCAATTAGCATGGTGCTAACTGTATGTCTAAATCATCTCACACCCACCTCAAACCACGTGGAATTGCTAAGTAACCTCAAATACGATTTGATTATGATGCAATTTGACTTGATTATGTGGTTTTTGGCACCGTTATCTAAAAACATGGACAAAAGTACAGACTTTACTATTTTTATCTATTATTGTTAACATTTGTCCATTTTCATAGTTGACATTACGTCACACGCTGTCAGAAACCCCATACATCTGAGGAAAGGGGAACACTGCAGAAATTAGATTTTTAGCCGAACTACCACCTTAACGAGCAGGTGTCTAGATGCCGTACCCGATGCGGATCTTTAGCATCCCGCTGAACAGCTCGGGGTTGTTGGAGATGATCCAGCCGATGTGGATGACCAGCTCCTGCTGCAGGACGGCCTCGCGCTCTCCGTGGGGGCTGCACTTACTGTAGATGATGTCCTTAATGACCCCAGGAGACAGTGGGTTCGAGATCACCGCCTCCTCGTGCCCAAAAAGGCCCAGGGTCACCTAGCAACAGAGGTTCAATCCCAGAACAGCGTCACTGCGCTGCTTTCTGTAAAGCGTCTGAGTTTTCTGAGTTGCTTCATTAAGGATAGTGCCTACATCTTCTCCAAACTTCTGCTCCTGGACATCTGCACTGCTACAGACGTTCGGCCTCAACAGCTGAAACTGCTACTCTGCTGTTCTCTCTTATTTAAATATTTACGCTTCTACTGTGCGAGAGTCAGAGACCACACCTCATTCATCTCATTCACAGTCAAAACAGCCGTTAAGGTCAGTTTTGACTTGAAACTAAATAAATGTACGGTCACCTCTGGTTTACAAATATTATATTTAGTAATTTTGTAAGTGAAAGAAGGTAACGCATCCTCCACAGAGAGCAAAATTAAATATGGCATTTCCTGCACATTTTACTGCAGAATTTCGGTTTTGCTGAGTTACCATATGAGAAAAAAACGTAAAATATAGAATGTGCCATAAATTCTTCACCGGCCACAATTTATGTGTAATGTTCTTCCCCCGGTACGTTCAGTTCAACAAATAAACAGAAACAGCAGAGGTGTGTTCTCTACGGCGTTCTGCTGGTGAGATCCCATATAAATAAAAAATAATGTGTGCCCACCCCTTATTAACGCATGGGAACGAGATCCTAATGCATAGCAAAGACTTAGTATGGCATGGGAAACAAGATAATTAAGTCATGGCCATGACTTTGTAAGGTGTGAGAACGAGACCATGCTTTACTAAGTTGTGGCCACGCATTAGGATCTCATTCCCACACCTTACTAAATTGTGGCCATGCAAGAGGATCTTGCTCCCATGATTTACTAAGTTGAGGCCACACATTAGGATCTCGTTCCCACGCCTTACTAAGTCTTGGCCACGAATTTGGATCTCGTTCCCACACCTTACTAAGTTGTGGCAACGTTCTGCTGGTGAGATCCTGTATAAATAAAAATAATGCGTGGCCACCCCTTATTAACGCATGGGAACGAGATCCTAATGCATAGCAAAGACTTAGTAAGGCATGGGAACAAGATAATTAAGTCATGGCCACAACTTTGTAAGGTGTGGGAATGAGACCATGCTTTACTAAGTTGTGGCCACGCATTAGGATCTCGTTCCCACACCTTACTAAATTGTGGCCATGCAAGAGGATCTTGCTCCCATGATTTACTAAGTTGAGGCCACACATTAGGATCTCGTTCCCACGCCTTACTAAGTCTTGGCCACATATTAGGATCTTGTTCCTATGCCATACTAAGTCTTGGCCACGAATTAGGATCTCGTTCCCACACCTTACTAAACTGTGGCCATGCAAGAGGATCTTACTCCCATGATTTACTAAGTCTTGGCCACGAATTTGGATCTCGTTCCCATGCCTTACTAAGTTGTGGCTACGCATTAGGATCTTGTTCCCACACCTTACTAAGTCTTGGCCACGAATTTGGATCTTGTTCCCATGCCTTACTAAGTCTTGGCCACGAATTTGGATCTCGTTCCCACGCCTTACTAAGTTGTGGCTACGCATTAGGATCTTGTTCCCACACCTTACTAAGTCTAAGCCACGTATTAGGATTTTGTTCCCACGCCTTACTAAGTCTTGGCCATGAATTTGGATCTCGTTCCCACGCCTTACTAAGTTGTGGCTACGCATTAGGATCTCGTTCCCATGCCTTACTAAGTTGTGGCTACGCATTAGGATCTCGTTCCCATGCCTTACTAAGTTGTGGCTACGCATTAGGATCTCATTCCCACGCCTTACTAAGTCTAAGCCACGCATTAGGATCTTGTTCCCACGCCTTACTAAGTCTAAGCCACGCATTAGGATCTCGTTCCCACACCTTACTAAGTCTAAGCCACGCATTAGGATCTTGTTCCCACACCTTACTAAGTCTAAGCCACGCATTAGGATCTCATTCCCACATCTTACTAAGTCGTGGCCACTCATTGTTTTGATTCATACAGAATGTCACCAGCAGGGCTTCGTAGTTCTCTGTGGAGAAAGTTTTCACTTATTTTCACTTTAAGAATCAACAAAACGAGTCACCTGACCAAGTGTGGCCAAACAAAAGCCTGTAACTCAGCACTAAAAGGTGTTTGTACTGATGTTTGAATAACTGCTCATCCATTCTGAATCGTACGAACACTAGAAGTATATTAGATTCATCAGTGAGACTGAATTCTGCAGAAACCTGCAGATATAAAGGAGTGAATGTACTACAAAGCCGTAAAACCAGAAGCACTTACTTTCATACCCGAGAGCAGAGAGATACATCGGCATAATTAAAAATGCTTCTCCTCTAAAGTTACCGCCGTGCATTTCTCATTACAATGATCTGGACAAACAGTGAAATGTTCCTCTCAGTGATCTCACAGCTAACCTGGCTAATAAGCCAAACCACTTTGCTATGGCAACAAGCAACACAAGCCAAACTGTGTGGGAGTCAAGTTGAAGCTGTAGGGGCTGAGATCCAGTTAATGAAGGGTCTGTGTAGAACTCAGTGCAGCGGCTGGGGAGGATTATTTTTAAAGCTAAGTTTTGAAGTGGTCCTATTGAACCTTTGCTGAACTCTCCTCTCCATGCAAGTTTAATTTTTTTGTTTATTAGTTTTGTTGTTTTGTGATTAAACAAGCCAATGTATTATTTTTATTATTTTACAATCTAATTTGGATATAAATAATTTGGTAACACTTTCTATGAATGTCACCTTTGTAAGCATCTATAAACACATTTGTAACATGTTATAATGCATTCATATGGCATTATTAACATAATTATGAACATTTATAAAAATGAATTACACTTTATAGCCATGTTTATTATACATTATGAATTGTTAATATAATGCATTATAAGTAGTGTCGATAACATGTTATACTGTCAGTGCCAAAGAAGTCAGTCCCAGCTTGGAGAGCGTAAAGTGAAGACAAATACCAAGCTAACGGTGGTGAACATTACCTTTCCCACATTGGGTAAAACACTGATGGCAGCTCTAGTTTAAACTCTGACATTTGAAGCCTGTAATGTGCTTTACTGTGAATGTTTTAGTGTTTCAGTAAATCCTTCAGTAAATACTTCAACTTGAAGCCTCACTCTTAACACTGGAGGAGGCTTTAGTACAGTACGCTTCACTTTACTTAGAGCGGACAAATACGACTTATGAGCTCTTATAATTTGTTATGATCAGTACTTATAATGCATTATGTTAACAATTCATAATGCATAATAAGCATGGCTATAACGTGTAATGCATTTTTATAAATATTTATAGCCATGTTTATAATTCCTTATTAATGCATTATAACATGTTATGAATGTGTTTATAGATGCTTACAAAGGAGACATTCATAGAAAGTGTTACCAATAATTTTATTACAAATTACAAATAATATATATTGTCACTGCTGTCGGAACAAAACCAGTTTTTGACATGATCTGAAAATGCCTGTTGCTCTTTACATTGAGTGTAAATTTCATGATGAATGGACCAAAAGAAACGACCCAAAATGACTTGGAAAAAATTCTGGTTCCATTGATTTACATTACAGGCACAGTATGTTTTTTCTATCTCCTGTAAAGTTACCATTTTGGAGATATCAGGTTTTGTTCAGACAGCAGTGACATATCATATTATATTACATTATATTATAATATATTATATTGTATTATATTACATTACATCTCATCTATGATATCGATCAATAACAGTAATCATCAGACCCGCTCTAGTGACTGGATCACCTGTCAGGTACTGAGAGTTCTTACTGAACTGGGAAAATTTGCTTTTAGCTCCAGAACACCAGTGAGCTGGACTTCACTACAGGAGTCTCTAAAACTCTTTTTTTAAATGATTTGGCTGAGTTTAACTTTTTCTCCTTTTTATTTTACTTTATTTTTTATTTTATCTCACTATTTTACTGCAACCATTTTATTTGACGTTAATTCTTTAACTGTTATCCCGACCTGCCGGAGTCTCTGCTGCACTCTGCTAACACTGCATACTGTAATCATCTCTCTTAACAGAACTGATTGTCTGTGTGTTTCTTTTTCTTTGCCGAGTTGAACAGCTGACCATCCTGCGCGATCGGGTGCTCACTGCTCACCAGCCTTCTGGACCGGTTTGCCCACCATGGAGCTTCTCGCTCTACAACGCTGTGCAAACCTCACCTGCATGAACTGATGCTTCACCTGTTTTTCTTCTTTTCTGTATTTTAATATTTTACACTAATTTTAAAATCTTACTCTCTGTTCATTTTGCTCTTGTGTTATTGTTTGCTATCCGGTGCTGACCAGAAGAGGATGGGTTCCCCTTCTGAGTCTTGGTTCCTCTCAGTGTTTCTTCCTCTTGCTCTTAGGGAGTTTTTCCTTGCCACTGTCGCCATTGGCAACACTCATGGGGGCTCAGACCTGGATTTTTCTGTAAAGCTGCTTTGTGACAACACCTGCTGTAAAAAGCGCTACATAAATAAACTTTGACTTGACTCGACTCGACTTGACTGTTCTATTTAAGTAAATAATTTTATTTCTATTATTTCAGTTTTTTAGCGTGCTGATTGCTGATTATCTTCGTTATTATTATTTTTTATTTCACTGCTGTTTGATGCCTGTTTCCTATCTGAGCTCTTATTTCTTTATAAATCTTGTTGTCTCACTGATTTTCAGTTGTTTTAGTTGATAAATGTCATTTGAACAGTGTTTAACTCACTGGACTACGTTGTAAATCAGTACTTCAAGTACTTCTGAGTCAAAATAAGCTTTGACTGATTGATACTATATTATTTAAAACTTTGGTATCACTTTACCGTAGGGTGCTTTGTCATAAGCTTGTCATGACAATTGACATAACCCTACATAAATGTTTATAAATGCTTGTATCTGTCATAAAGGCTACTTTAGCTAACTTTGATCAAAACTGGCAAATACTGCCTATTGGAATAAGCATTTATAAACATTTCTGTAGGGTTATGTCAGTAGCCTTATGAATCGTACCCTACAGTAAAGTGATTCCAAAACTTTTTCACATATGAAAGCCACTTGTATGTGGTTGTTAGGAGTCAAATTTTCTCTAGATTGCTTCATAAATAATTTTTAGTGCTCCTCAGAAATATTTCCCCAAAAAATATATACTTAAAGGCTGTTTTGACTAGAAATGAAATAAATGAAAGGTGTCCTCTGACTCTCTATATAGCAAAACACATATATTTAAGCACCCTGAGGTGCATTACCTACATATGAAAGCCACCATTTAAATAAAGTTAATATTAATTACTATTATTACTATTTCGTAATCCTGTCCATGTGTCTTCTTATATAAGATAATAACAGGGTCTAATAAGAGAGGAAAACAATTTAGACGACAGGCATTACATCCTCCGCTATCTGAAAGCGCTGATTATCTACAGAGTGCTTTTAAGAAACAGAGACCACTGAAAGCAAAAGTGCACCTGAAATGGCATCTTCCTGCTCTGATGTGTCTGTGTTTCCTCTATGTCAGCACAACACTATCAGCACAGCTGTGCTCCAGCAATAAAGCGCTCCGGGCTCCGAAGGGCAGCGCAACACGAAAAACTCCATAACGGCTGCCGTCTGTATCAGAGCACTTAGAGGCCTACATTAAGATTATAGCCTTGAACTGCAGAAGCCTTTTCCTCTCTGAACTACACAATCTGCAATATTCATTTAGGAAAAAATGTGCCGTCTCTAATGCTCCCGACGGACGGCTCCGCTTTTAAACTCCGCCGCACGACTCGCATGGAAATTTGTCCAAACAGACGGGAGGTAGATTTGAAAGCGTAAGGTCTTGATCTCCTTTTTTTTTTATTTCTGTAAGGCTACGAAGGCTTAAACAACTCCACAAGCACATCAGTCTGCACGGTTCAACTCTCCATTGTATATGCGGAGTGACCCCGTTTTCAGAAAAAAGCTAATTTTGCAACTAATGTATTAAACTAGGCCTCTAGAATACAATCTATATGCAGATTTATTCCTCCTGGAGATGCAGCCTAATGAATCATGTATACTTTACTGGTGGGGTGTTGGGCGACAGGACTACATTTGGATGCTATAGAACACAATAAATCTGAGAAATAGTGCAAAGAAATAAGAAAAAACAGCTCTAGCCAGGGGAAAAGGAAACAGAGAACACACCAAAATACATTATAATACGTACATTATAATATGTGTCTACACTGAGTTGCCAGTTTATTAGAAACACCTACCTTGCACCTACTCTCACTGGCCATTTTATCAGAAACACCCACCGTACAGGTGCACTTCGTAGGTCTACAGTTACAGACTGCAGTCCATCTGTTGCTGCACAATTTATTAGCCCGTCAATAGAAAAGGACCACCGAAGTACCAGCGGCTCCGACGTCATTCAGAGCGATTTGACATGAAATGCTGACTCTTCTTTACAGTGGTGGTGATAGGAACCTGGGGTCGCCATGACGACAACACAAATATGGACATTTTATTTGCTATCCAAAACCACCAGTGAACCTACACGAGTCTTCTGAGCTTTATATGTAATTTTAATGATGGTAAAATAGTAGAAAAGCAGAAAAGAACGTAGAAATAGCATCATTCTCATAAGTAAAACTGGCTGTATGAATAAATGTAACATCATTATGCATTATAGTGAACTTGTTATGCTGCCAGTCACATTTACCTTTTCTATAATTAAAACATTTAAATGTTATTCTGTAATAATATTTGATCCTAACTGAAGTTGTCATGGTGACTGAACAATATGTGATAACTTTCTGTGAGGGAGCTTTTAGAGGTGGACGTCTGGTTCCTATCACCACCACTGTGAACAATTAAGTTTCTCTAAAACGGAGCGTTTCACACCAAACCACTCTGAACAGCATTCTTAACCACTTAGCTATGCTGATATTTTGGAAAATTGGTGGAATTCCCATTAATGGCCTAAAATAAACTACGCTTCAACAGTCTCTAACTGGACACCTGCCAGGTCCAGCTACAGGATGGGCATTTCCGATAACGTGGCCAGCGAGTGCACTGATGTCAAATGCACAGCATAAAGCTGACAGGGGCAAAACCTGCACAGGTGATGAGCTACATTAGCTGTTTAGTCAAAATTAGGGATTTTAAAGCAAGCTAGCAGTGAAGCATGCTATCAGTCTGAAGCACTCTGCTTCGGAATAACAGGAAAAGGAGTCTACAATGAGGAATGACAGACGCACACATGATCAGTGAACATTAAAATGTCTTTAGTATCTTTAAAATAGAGTTTCTAAACTCTAGAGCTCGATTCTGTTTGAAATGGTCGGCCTCCTGACCTTTTGGTCCCACTTACCTGTTTGCCATGCACTAATACGCTAGTAATACTTGGAGCGAGGCTGTCCACTAGCTTAGTTAAGAGACTGGCAGCAAGACGCACAACGGACCTGGTGAACAGAAACACATAATCCCACACGGGTTAACACTCACACCTGGACTTCACACATTACATGAATTTGTCCAGGCTAAAAGGGTTTTTATGGATGGTGTGTGCATGAGTGCTGGAATTAGAACATCCTGAAGGACAGATACTCCATGTATTTTCAACCGAATCTCTGTCTGTGGCATCTGTAGCACACGGTCGATTACCATGGACAACAATTCCGATGCTTTTCCCGGGACTTAACAGAAGAACAGAAAACCCATCAGCCTCAGTGAAGGCAACAGAACCGCCGTTCTAGTCGTATCTGAACTCTGCAAATACTGTAGTAATATTTTTATTTCACAGAAGGGTTAAGATATTTAAACTCCCAGTAAATGATCCAATCAGCATTGTTTTCTTGTTTTCTCTGTGGTCTGTAGGTAGATACAGCCAATCAAGGGATAGGACTTCAGGAGCTGGACTGAAGGCCTTACATGCGAGATTACCAACAGCAAAAATAGGTAAATTAGGCTTTGATTTACTATATATGTATATACAGACAAAAGTATTGGGACACACCTGCTACTTATTGAATTCAGGTGTTTCAGCCACACCCATTGCTAAAATTAAGCACACTGTCTTACAGTCTCGACAGACAAACACTGGGTCGTACTGAAGAGCTCAGTGACTTTAAACACGGCTCTGTCATAGGGTGGAATTTCTGCCCTGCTAGATCTGCCCGTCAACTGTAAGTACTATTATTGTGAAATGGAGGCACCCAAAGCAACAACAGCTCAGCCACGAAGCCGTAGACCACCAAACTTACAGAGTGGACCACCGAGTGCTGAAGCGCACAGCGCCCATCCTCTGTTGAATCACCAAAGAGCTCCAAACTGCCTTTGGAAGCAACATCAGCAAAAGAACTGCACATTAGGAGCTTCACGAAATGGGTTTCCATTCCGAGCAGCTGCACACAAGCCTAAGATCAAAATGCGTAATGCCAAGCGTCGGACGGAGTGGTGTAAAGTGCCGCCACTGGACTCTGGAATTGTCGCTTCCAACTTTGTGGGAACAGTTTGGGGAAGAACCTTTCCTGTTCCAGCATGACTGAGCCCCAGTGCACAAAGCAGCTCCATAAAGGCCTGACTGGGTGAGTTTGGTGGCGTTTACTGGCCCTCACAGAGCCCTGACCTCAACCCCATCAAACGCCTTTGGGATGATCTAGAACGGAGATTGTGAGCCAGACCCTCTCGTCCAACATCAGTGTCTGATCTCACAAATGCTCTTCTGGATGAATGGGCAGAAATTCCCACAGACACTCTCCAACATCTTGTAGAAGCTTCCCAGAAGAGTGGAAGCTGTTGTGACCAACTCCATATTACTGCCTATGGATTTAGACTGGGATTCATAAAAGCTCCTGTGGGAGTAAAGTGTCCCAATACTTTTGTCCATAGCATAAAAAAATGTCAAATTACTTGTTTTGTTGATTAATGCGGAATAGTCATAAATTGTAGCCTGTGTAAAAGTTATGGCCCATTTTATAGTTTATGTTGATTTTTTTCCAATATGTTCAACTTAGCAAATTTACAGAAATAGCGCACTAGAATTGGAAGGAAATTGTGTGTTTTTGTGTCTCCGTGGAGGATGTTTTTAACTTATTTTCACTTAGAAAATCAACAAAACATGGAATTTGCATCGGTGGGTTTTCTGTTTTGTTTTTTTTTGTAAACACAGGGAAAAGTTCCAGCGTTATTGTCGGTGGTGATCAGCTGTAACCTTCAGATCCAGCAGACGGACATAATGTTATAAAATGCTGTTGTATTCCTTTAATAGCCGACTCCACAGCCTCAGCTTTAACTTCCAATATCCTCCAACTGGCTTGGTGCAAGAATTAGCAACGTAACTCCCAAAAGACCTTGCTGCACTTTTTTTAAGCCTCCACAAATGCTTGTACTGGAGTTTCTCCACCAGCTGTCCAACAGAAGCTGTAAGCCTGCTGCATCTGCCGCATGAACCCAGCCACACGCGCATTCGAATAAATATCTAAATGAAGGTTTATTCCGTACGCAGGACGCCACCCCCACTACGGAATTAGAGTCATTAGTATTCCCAGGTTCGCTCCTCGGGGAACGAGAGTTTATCAGGAACGGCTCAGCGCCTCTGAATGACAAACGTGCAGTGGGAATTCAAATCCTGCCTCAGCACAGTTCCCTGACTTCTCAACTTCCTCCAATGTGATGATGGGCTCGGCTGAAGTATTTTAATGTTCACTAATATATGAATCCTTAGTTGAGGCACTCTATTAGGTTCTGACAGATGGGAAGACCATAGAAATATCATGGGTGTGTTATAAGGCAGCACACGGGGTGAGCTTGCACAGCTAAACACGTGAATGTCAGCACACGTCACCAAACCAAACAGGGTGGAGTCAAGAAGGGAGAGGAAACTAACACAGGAGAAGCACACTCAGCTATTAAACTACAGAACTAAGCGACACCGTACAGCTACACAACACTGACTGATGAAATGTAATGGAACAATTTGTAAACTACGCCACTTCCTTAAAAGGAATAGGTCAAACTGACCCCCATGTAGACCAGCCACGGCACGTTTAGTGTCTGAAGTTTGCTTCTTTAGTTTTAAAGTGGAGCCACGATGCTAATGTAGCTGACAGGCTTTGAATACCTTTTTTATATCCTGGTGAGTCATGAATTTCAGTCAGATGTTAGGAATGAAAAACAGCGGCAGCAGAACTTTATACAAGGTCAACTACAAGTCAATGTTTGTTACAAATAAAACAAATGAAAGGTCGTTTACAGGCCTCAAACGCCGTGTTTTAGCTAGAACAGTTAAAAAATGTTCATGTGCACATTATTGGAAACCCCATAGATGTGCTAGCTAGCATTATATAATAGTCACGGTTTGGCGTTTTTCCGTTTTTTCCCCCGTTTAAACCTGGAAATAAAACAAACATAAGTTGGCAAATAAAATGAAGAAGAAATATTCTAAATTCTGTTTCTAGGTCACTATTAGAATTGAAGGAAATTCTGAAACTCACGTAAACTTTCAAAGATTCTACTTTTCACTCAAATTGTAATTTTGATAATGTCATTTGTAATGAAAAACACTGTATTACATTAGAAAAGAATGCAAAACAGAAGCGTTTTCCCCAGTGGACCCCACTGTATATCAGAGATGGTCACAGTCTTTAGTAGAGAATTTTAGTTGAGTCCTGTTTTACACCGATCAGGGATAACATTATGACCACCTCCTTGTTTCTATGCTCATTGTCCATTTTATCAGCTCCACTTACTATATAGGTGCACTTTGTAGTTCTACAGTTACAGACTGTAGTCCATCTGTTTCTCTGATACTTTGTTAGCCCCCTTTTACCCTGTTCTTCAGTGGTCAGGACCCCCATGGACCCTCACAGAGCAGGTACTGTTTGGGTGGTGGATCATTCTCAGCACTGCCGTAACACTGATGTGGTGGTGGTGTGTTAGTGTGTGTGGTGCTGGTGCAAGTGGATCAGACACAGCAGTGCTGCTGGAGTTTTTAAACACCTCAGTGTCACTGCTGGACTGAGAATTGTCCACCAACCAAAAATATCCAGCCAACAGTGTCCTGTGGGCAGCGTCCTGTGACCACTGATCAAGGACTAGAGGATGACCAACACAAACAGCGCAGCAGCAGATGAGCTATCGTCTCTGACTTTACATCTACAAGGTGGACTGACAAGGTAGGAGTGTCTAATAGAGTGGACAGTGAGTGGACACCAGCGCAACACACACTAACACACCACCACCACGTCAGTGTTACTGCAGTGCTGAGAATGATCCATCACCTAAATAGTACCTGTTCTGTGAGGGTCCATGGGGGATCCTGGGGGTCATTTTCAATAGTGTATATATTTAATATTGAATATTAATTGTAAATTCAAAAATTCATATTCATATGATGGGTTCCCCTAATTCTTGGTTCCTCTCAAGATTTCTTCCTTTTGCTCTTAGAGAGCTTTTCCCGCCACTGTTGCCCCGGTGACGCTCACTGGGGCTCAGATCTGGATTTCCTGTAAAGCTGCTTTGCAACATCTGTTCTAAAAAGCACTATATAAATAAATCTTGACTGGAATGGAATACAGTTAATTTTTTGGGAATTGTGATTATTGTTCCATGTTTTCCGTTACTACTCAACTCTGGTGATGCGGTTTAACGGACGCTATTTGTGATACATAACTTCGCTGTTGGGACAAAACCTTCTATCTCCATTTTTATTGTTTTAATTTTTTGACATCATTACAAAACTCAAGCTGCCCTTCGCTTTGTGTCAACATTTCATGACGAATGGACTTACAGAAAAGGTCCAAAATGACTTGGAATAAACAATTTCTCCATTAAACTTCCATTAAAAGTTAAAAATGTTTTTCCGTTCTCCTGTAAAGTTACATTTTGGAGATGCGATAAGCTCCCATGCCTTGTTGGCTGCATTAGCCTCGTAAGCTCCAGTTAGAGGTCTGCACGGGACTGCTATTTCAGTCCTGCTCCCGCCCGCTCCCACAACACTTCATCCCGCTTCTGCAGAAAATCGGAATCTTTTGTCCCGCTCCCGCCCGCAACCAAAAGGCTTAGTCCTGCTCCCTGCTGACAGTTCCGTCAGGGCAAACTGACACCCGATATCTGACACAGTCTATTCATAAATGCATTATTCTCTGCTGAAATAACACGGCAGGCGTGGTCATCAGGCTCACTGTGAGGAACTTCACCAAACGCCATTTATTCCCAGTAAACACAGAGCAGGACTTAAACCACAGTGTTACATGTGAGCGCATGTTTTTTTCCTCTCTCGCATGCTTTCTTATAGGTGGATCGAAGTGTCACTCTTTACTGTCTCCTTTTAACCAATCAGAGATCGCGATCGGACTAAAAGGGGGACTTCTTGCAGCAGCCTCTCTGCTGTTTATGCTGCTCTGTTTATTAGTAAACGCCGATTTGTTCGATTACCTTGATCTATTAGCTCTTAACTACACTGTTCTGATGGCTCTGGTCTTCACTCTGTTGACACTGTCACTGTTAACTGTTTGTTTACTGGGCGACATTAATGTCTGTTAGTTCTTAATGTTTTGAGCTGGTTTCCGCTGGAAGAACTTGTATGTTATTCATGTGATCGGCTGCTTCGCAACTTATTAGAATGAGTTCATTCATTTTAATTGTTTTACTGTTAGCATTTTATACGGTTTGTATAAAACAGTATAAAAAGTATAAAATCGCCCTGTTGTCGGAACAAAACCTCGTATCTCCAAATTGGTAACTTTACAAGAAAAGGAAAAAACCTACTTTACTTTTAATGTAAGTCAATGGAACCAGACTTTTTTCCAAGTCATTCTGGGTCGTTTCTTTTGGTCCAATCATCATGAAATTTACATACAATGTAAAGAGCAACAGGTATGACAAAATGGAGATACATGGTTTTCTTCCTACAGCATTGATATGTGATTTAGTGATAGTCCTACTTTAGGCTACTAAATGTATGGATATATTTGTAGATTTGTATATGTGATTTAGTGATAGTCCTACTTTAGGCTATTCACTTATGATTTCTCTTCATGCGTGCTTCATCCCGCTCCCGCCTGCAGTGGGCTGGTTTCCCACCCGCTCCCACGCACAACAGTGAAATTTAAGATATTGTGGCGATTCCCGCGGGAATTCACAGGAGTGCAGACCTCTACCTCCAGGGGCAAACTAACTAAAAACTAAGTAAAGAAGTAAACTTCATACACCAGACACGTCTTGGCTGATCATCCACATTTGAGACCAGGAGAAAAACGTGGAAATTAGATTTTTACTGAACTATTCCTTTAATACGCCGTCAACTACAACAAGACCACCAGAGCCACTGACTCACACAGAGGATGAGTGAAGCGTGCGCTCCAGTTAATGAACGGTCAGGTTTCACTCAGCCTACAGGTATGGATACCACACATGCAAAGGCAGCGAAGACCAACAGCCTATTACCTGTTTGCCATGGACCAACAGAGTGGTTATATGAGGAGCTATAGAACCCGCAAACTTCTGCGTAGCGGCCGCTGCGTAACGGACCGCCAGCCTACACCAGGTTTGCATGTTCGAAAATAAGATTCGTTTTGGCAGAAACAAGTGACATTTGAATAGACAGACAGAAAGAAGAAGTGAAGAAACAAGTGAAACAAATTTAACAAATGTGGCAAAGCTGTTTACGCTTATAACCCAGCGTTTCTGTACATGACAGTAAAAATGTTAGGTAACACTACTGTACGGTGCCTTTCATAAGGCTACATGACACCTACATTAGCTTGTCATGACAGCTGACATAACCCTACATAAATGTTTGTACATGCTTATTCCAAAAGGCAGCATCCGTCATAAAGGCTACTTTAGCTAACTTTGATCAAATGTGCCAATTATAACCTTTATAGCAAATGACGCCTATTGGAATAAGCGTTTGCAAACATTTCTGTAGGGTTATGTCAGTTGTCATAACAAGCTTATGTAGGTGTCATGTAGCCTTATGAACAGCACCCTACAGCAGAGTGTTACCAAACGTTATTAATAACAAACGGAAATATCGAATTTTTCTCCGATTCATTTAAATGGGGGGAACAATTTTACAGTCCAGTATAGTTGTATGCAAAAGTTTGCGCAGTGACCACCTGCGGTCAAACTGCAATAATGTGTTGATTTTCGAAGTGAAAATAAGTGATTGTTTGCATAGAACACACTCACATTTTAATGCACAATTAAAAATATTGGAAATTTTTTTTTATTATCTTATACTGAGCAAATTAACGGAAACTGCAGATATCATATTTATGTTGGCTCCTTGCAGGGAATGTGCTGACATTCTCTTTTAGAAAATCAACAAAACATGCGACTAAGCAATTTGCATGTTCAAATTTTGGCACACAAGTGTGAGAATTTTGACAAATTTTCACAATTTAAAAATGAATCCTGACCTGTTGAAATCCTAATTATTCCATGTTTGAATTAATTTCATACTAATAAAAACATGTAAGAATGGAAGATTTTACTTTTACATGTAGTAAAATTTTTTACATGAAAATCAATTAAAACGTATTAATGCAATACAATCAAACCTATTAGTGCAATATAATCAACACATCATGTGCGATATGTGTACAATATCTCTACAGCGTAAAGATTTTTTTTACTTTTCTATTTATGTTTATATTGTTAATTCATCACAATTCCCATGTGCAATATAATCAATACTCCATGTGCAATTCGGGTAAAATATCCTTACAGTGTAAATATGTTTTGCTTTTTATTTATAATTGTTTTTATTGTTAATTTTTGTGAATAAAGTTCATGTGAAGGATAGAGTTTATATTTATTAACTATTTTTTATATTTAGTATTTTATATATTGTCTATATAGAAACAAGTAACAAACTGCAACCTTGTTAATTAACTAACAAAGTTCATTTCTTTGTTAATTCTCTTTTTGAGTGTCCTGCTCTCCCTTTGCTGCTGCAGCACTGTGAATTTCCCCACTGTGGGACTAATAAAGGATTATTTTATCTAATTAGAATTTCAACATGTCAAAATGTATTTTTACTGTAAAAATACAAGCAGAACTGGTACTATTGAAAAGTTTTCCTTCCATTAAAATAAACTTGGAAAATTCATGAATTCTTACTAGTGGGAAAAGCAATCTTACCCGCTAAAACAGAAAAAAAGTGGAATTTTGACAAAGAATTGTGGGTTAAAAGCTAAAACAGCTTTCCGTACACAAACTCCAATATCTCTATTCGGAACTCCAATCCTGTGGATCTCATCTACTGCATGTTTTTTTATTTTCCCGCTCCACCACACCGGACTCAGGAAGAGCCTGAATGGACCTGTTAGCCCAATTTTCCAAAATGACTGGACATCTCAATCAAAAAGATAAATTTTTATAATTTTAGAACTTATTTTAGGTCTAATAAGGCAAGGTAGACCAAGCAGACCTATACTGCTTTAATTATAGTGCTGTAATTATTTGTATGTCACTAAGGAAATGGTTAATAATTCAAATAGTAGCGATTATTAATGCACATATTTCTAACAGACCACTGGATAAACGATTAAGCTGCTATTTATACAGAACTGTTATCATAAAGTGCTGCCGCCTAATCAGAGAGTGAAAACAAACGTGTGAAGCGTGTGAGACCCACAGGATTAGAGCTGAGAACCACAGAAAAACCAAGAAGAAGAAGAGGGTCAGTAATATTTCACAGTGTTCAGGTCAGAGGTGGTTAAAATGAGTGAAATGGAGAATTAGACTGGAGTCTGACCAAAGCTTCCGGCTGCCCGCTTGTCTGTAGATCCGCTCCAGCTCGTCCTTCAGGCTCTCTGGAGATGCAGAGGAGAAATGTTTGAGTTGCAGTGCAGTGACTGAAGTATACAGAATAAACAATTAGGGAAAATATGTGGATTTAAATATGAGATTCAAACATTAAACACTGTATGCAACACTGTATGCATACTGCTACTTGTAAGAGCAAAATTCAAAGTGACCATTTTATTTTAAAATGTGGTCAGTTGTTTCAGAACATTATTAAAGCTGCACTATGTAAGATTTTTTTATCATTACTGATTGAGGAGGATTGAGACCACGTCGTACGTCTTTATGTAATAACATCACACACAGGCTTGAAAAGAAGGTCCAGCTCAATGTTTAGGTCTCAAATGATCTCAGAATCAACATCATACTGATGAAGATGTGAAGACAGTAGTAGATAATTCACTCACATCCTCAGAGACGCTCCTTCACCAAGTTTAGACAGCTTTGAATTCTCTTTCAATCAGATTTATCCCCTCAGGGAAGGGGACCGAAGAACAACCCACGCTACAAAATGTTCTAATGCATTTTGCATGCAGTTACATATTTCTGCCACAGAGGTCTCCAAAGCCTCAAATCTTAAATAGTGTAGCTCTAATTTGCTATTTATTTTTTGAATTTCAGAAAAAGTTTTTTGTTTCATTCCTCTCCAGTATTTCACTCATCTCTCCAGATTTTAACTGATTAGACTTAAATAAAAGAAAACATGACATTATGTTTATATTTGGCCTATAAAAATAACTAACAACAAATCATTTAGTTGATTTTACACAATAAAAGTTCACCAAATTTAACAAAAGTCTGCTGACCAGTGAATGCAGCAGAGTGATGATTCATACAAAACACTATCGGTCCAAAAGCTGGAATCAGTCGGTACATAATAATAATATATTTGCATAATATAATTAATATAATATTGGCAACTTTACGCATAACAGCAACTTCCACAGCACAGATTTAAACATTACAAAGTAAAAACAATAAAATACACAGTCATTTTGGTGCCTTTCGTCAAATTCCATGTTTTTTGTTGATTTTCTAAGTGAAAATAAATGCTGCTTCCTCTACAGAGACACACATCAGCACATTTTAATGCGCAAGCACTGCTTATTTGCTGAATTTAATGGATTTGAAAAATTTTAAAACAAAAAATGTGGCCTGTGAAAATTGTTTTCACTTCGAAATCAACAAAATGTGGAATTTGACCTGGAGCACCCAAACTTTTGATAAAATTGGTCAACTTTTAGTAATTGTGTAAATTCAGTTCAATTCGATTTGTTGTTACTGTTATTTTTATAGATCAAATATAAAGAATGATGTCATGTTTTCTTTTTTTTTAATTCTAACCAGTTAAAATCTGGAGAGATGAGGAGAAGAAAGCTGGAGAGGAACAAGGAAAAAAAAACTCGGGAACACTTTCTATGAATGTCACCTTTGTAAGCATCTATAAACACATTTATAACACGTTATAATGCCTTCATACAGCATTATAAACATGATTATAAGCATTTATAAAAAGAATTACACTGAATTACACTTTATAGCCATGTTTATTATACATTATGAATTGTTAATATAATGCATTATAAGTAGTGTTGATAACATGTTATAATGTCAGTGCCAAAGAAGTCAGTCCCAGCTTGGAGAGCGTAAAGTAAAGACAAATACCAAGCTAACGGTGGTGAACATTACCTTTCCCACATTGGGTAAAACACTGATGGCAGCTCTAGTTTAAACTCTGACATTTGAAGCCTGTAATGTGCTTTACTGTGAATGTTTTAGTGTTTCAGTAAATCCTTCAGTAAATACTTCAACTTGAAGCCTCACTCTGAACACTGGAGGAGGCTTTAGTACAGTACGCTTCACTTTACTTAGAGTGGACAAATACCACTTATGAGCTCTTATAATTTGTTATGATCAGTACTTATAATGCATTATGTTAACAATTCATAATGCATAATAAGCATGGCTATAACGTGTAATGCATTTTATAAATATTTATAGCCATGTTTATAATGCCTTATGAATGCATTGTAACATGTTATGAATGTGTTTATAGATGCTTACAAAGGAGACATTCATAGAAAGTGTTACCAAAAACTCTTTATGAAATTAAAATAAATTTCTAAATTTCTAATGACTAACATTTAAAACAAACATCAAAGAGTAAAACAGAGAGAGTGATGGGACTAAAATGTGACTAGATTTTGTTCCTGTTCTCCATTTAATGAAAAATATGCTCCATTTTGGTTGTCGTTTTTGTTTTATGTACTATTTCTAGTTTTTGCTTGATGCATCACCTGCCGGCCTGCTGGGAGCGGAGAGCTGCTCTGGCGAGGGCTGATGCACTGCGAGCTGATATAAATGGACTGAGACTGTGGGCTAATATCGCTGAGCCGACACTCTCGCTGAAACACCATGCCCTAAAAAATGTACTTAAGCACTTTCTGTCCAGCAGGAGAGACGCAGGGCTAGTCAGCAACTCTAAACTCTGGCTCTGAGCCCACCAGTCACACATTTATCAGAAAACTCGGCTGAAGGCACTGAGAGTCCATTTCCTGATCCAGTAAGCGCAGGCTAACGAGGGCAGGCCTGCTGACCAGTGAATGCAGTGCAGTGATGATTCATACAAACACTGTCGTTCAAAAAGCTGGAATCAGTTAATACAGTAAAGTAACTTTGGTCACTTTATGTATAACAGCAACTTCTACAGCACAGATTTAAACATTACAAACTAAAAACAATAAAATATACAGTCGTTTTGGTGCCTTTCGTCAAATTCCATGTTTTTTTGTTGGTTTTCTAAGTGAACATAAATGCTGCATCTACAGAGACACACATCTGCACAATTTAATGCACAAGTACTGCTTATTTACTGAATTTAACACATTGGAAAAAATAAAACACAAAAAAAATGTGGCCTGTGAAAATTGTTTTCACTCAGAAAATCAACTAAATATGGAATTTGACCAGGAGCACCCAAACTTTTGCATGTGACTGTATTTTTAAATGCTTTAGTTGAAGGTATTTCAAGTGGGAACCAAAATAATTAACGCTACAATAATAACAATACTATATAATATTGTAGCTGTGATTTTATATATATGGACCTTTTTATTGAATGAGTTCAAACTGGGTACTTATAATTACTAATAATGTAATTATAGGGTACTTTTTATGGGGAAGTGTCTGTCCCAAACTGTAACCCCTAAATTTACACTTTTACATTACATTTTTTTTGCATTTTTCTTTTTAATGTTGATTTTTGTCTGATTTCTTTTTAAAGTTGAATGATTTAGATTTATCGAGTTTAATTTTTACGTTAAAAAAAATTAAAAATATATTCAAATATTTAAAATGATCACAGATTGTCTCAGTCAAAAAAACATATTAACCCTTGTGTGGTGTTCAGGTCTGTGGGACACATTTTCAATGTTTACCAAAAGAAAAATGATGTGATTTATTATTATTTCAACCTCAGATTTTTGGCCTTTGCTCATTTTCTGTGAAGATCATATAAAATAACCCATTTTCAGTGTCTTCACTCTGTTCACCCCCCCACACATTTATATTACACATGTGGTGCTGGGTGAACCTGCGGGGAGTAAAAGTGTGGAGGTGCTGTGTCCTTCACTCTGTTCCCCTCCTACATGGCCTGCTGTTAGCGTGTGTGTGTGTGTGAGGGTGGACAACATGGACAGGCTGCTGACTGGCTACAGCTGCTAAAGGAGAACCCTACGCTGGCCATTAGTGATATTTTAAACACCTGGTATGTTTACATAAATTGTTATGATTTAAAAACCAGTAATGCAGTGGGTCACCAGATCGACGAGTAACAAACACATCAACACCACACAAGGGTTAAAAAATATCTGTGTTTATATTACAGAAAACTCTAATTCCAAACGTTTGAACTGCAGCAGGAATGCACGAACTTCATTCTAGGCCTGTGACATACCAGAGGCCTATCTGAGTCTACATGATAAAAGCACTGAAAACGTCAGAACGCAAATGCAGATATTCAGCTTCTTCTTCATTCCAGCAGACGTCTGAGAAAACATCTCTAGAGCATCACCAGCCAAAACCAGCGAAGCTCAAAATCATCCAGAATTGCTTGTCCTTGTTAAAACCCTCTGAGTAAGGCGCTAATCTGAACAGCTCGCGACCGGCGAGATGAAACTGTTGTTTAAAAACTCAGAGGTCTACACCAGCGGCGTAAGCTGATGCTTCCTAAACCAGACACTTAAGGCCCGGAGACGCTAAATGGATTATCGCTGTGGAGATTTCACTTACAGAGGTTTTAGCAGCTGCTGCGAGGAAATAAAGCTCTGACGAGACAGCAAATGAATCCATCACTGCAGCGTCAGCCAGAAGACTCAGAACACCACAGCGCGTTGAGTAGTGTGTTCACTTATAACGTAATTTTTTTTTTACGGTTTTACGGTTTATTAGGCGGGTAGTCGCCTATTAGAATCACTAGAATCTAGAATCACTACTTACCATCCGAAGGATGTTTTGGCGTGAAATGAATCCTAACGTCAAAAAGTTTCTTGGTAATATTTTAAGAATGTAAACAAAGATTTTTCCTGTGGAATTAGTCCAATTATTAGTCCAATAATAAATAATGAATTTACGTGTTAATTTAGTGGCATGTGACAGATTTCCTCTACAGCCTTTCTAAATAGAAAGAGCTCTAGCAGCTCTATATGGCAGTGAAATGTGATCTCTCATTCAATGTCTGAGAAGGAAAAATTAAGTAAACTAATAACTTAATTAGTTATTAAGGAGGTTAATACGGATTCAGGAGGTTAGGATGGATTCCGGAACGCTAGAGGCACAGTTGCAACAGACATGAAATAGAGATTTTATAATATGATAAACCAAAGCTTATGCAATAAAAAAAAATTTTTTTTGCAAGAAATGAAATCCTTATCACCGTTGTCGGAACAAAACCTCGTATCTCCAAATTGGTAACTTTACAGGAGAAGGAAAAAAAAACCTACTTTGCTTTTAATGTAAGTCAATGGAACCAGACTTTTTTTCCCCCCAAGTCATTTTGGGCCGTTTCTTTTGGTCCATTCTTCATTAAATTTACACACAACGTAAAGAGAAACAGGTATTTTCAAATCATGTCAAAAACTGAAAAAACGTCAAAAATGGAGATACAAGGTTTTGCTCCGACAGCAGCGATATAAAAAGCATTATTATCGCAAAAAGCCAGTCTGAAGGAACCACGTTTTGTTTTTTTGTTTTTTTGTTAACACATATTCACTTTATCGCTTGCAGCTTTCTGCTAAAAGTCGACGGAAACAGCCGACTGGAAACTTCTAAAACTGCAAATTCTTAAAACCCTTCTGAAAAGAGTAAAAGTGTAAATGTTTTCTTTTCTGTTCTAAAAGCTTTTTAAGCTCCATAATGACCACAGTGTACCGTCTCTGCTGAAGAAGTCGGGACCCTCTTTCTTCAGGAGAACGCTGGCGAGCTGCGCTTGGCTGGCAAGACAACCACAATCCTGATGACAACAAAACAAAACAAAACAGCACGTTTACGTTACACAAGGTGGGAAGAGGAACCTAGATTACACACTGAAGGCCAGACGTACGTATTTATCTGCTTACAATGCACCTGAAATTAACATCTGATTTGCTTAGGCTGCAGCTAATCATGTAAACTGTAGCCCCGCCCACTAAGTGTTCACTCGTGAGGTGCAGGGTTTAAAAAAAGCAGCAAAATAATGAAGCTCAGAAAAATCAAAGAGATTATGAATAAGAATAAGAGATTGAGTTATACCTAAACATGTTCATCTATTATGTAACGGGTATATAAATTTGCTGAAAATTAGTCTGGAAAAAAATTGCAGAATAGTTGAATTTTCCCAAAAATTGCATTAGTGATCATTAAAGCTGCCTCTCTCTTCAGCAATGAAGAGACAGTGGAGTTAAAAAATCAAGTTTCTTTCCCACAAAACAGTCAGCGCAGACTGCTGGTCACTATAGCAACACAGACAACAGTCTCGCCTAGCTAGTAGCTAACGAAACGGCAAAGAGAGAGATTTAAGATGAACATCGATAATTTGGAGATTAATGGACTTATTTGTGTTTATAATCACTCCAGCTGGTTTCCTGATACGTTTAATCTGCAATGAGAAACTGAAACACTAAAAAGTCGCGAGGCTGAAGTCTCTCTCTGAAGTTTCTCATTCGCTAACATCTCGTTCTAAGTCTCCCATTCCACCTTAAGCAGTTACACTCTGGTGTTTTAGGCACCCTTTAAGGTGGAACAGAAAAATTGCTGGTGAATGAGAAGCGACTTTGAACGTTGAGAGACATTTTACAAGAAACTGTTCTACTTTGGAGGAAAAGTTTCCTGCTGGAGATGCGAGAAAAGTGGCTATATCTGAGTTAAAGCTTAAAGCAGAGCAAAGTAAGTCTGAGTTTTCTTTATTTTATGTTTTTTAGCCTATACTAGTACATTAAAACATACTTAGACATATTTACAGGCAAGATGGTAAAATGGACAAAGTGTTGTGGCTCCAAAGGTGGTTTGATTTTTGGGTTGTTGATAATTTACACCTGTAAAATGCAGAAAAAGCCACACTGACTGCTGCTCAGACTTTAGTAAATGGACTGGAAGAAGTATCAGCCACACTTCCACCTATTTCGTCCAGTCCTATTCTGCTCAATCTTCTCTCATATGCATATCTATGAGTGCATTTTGCGTTTATCTATGCGTTCGGCCTATGATGAGCCAGTTTCGTTGAAAATGCCTGAGAAGCTCAGCTTTTTGGGGACACAATGTCTAGTTTAGATTCACCTACATTGTACCTACTTCTACCCCATGCATCAATGGAAAAGGACCACCATAGGACCACCGCTGACCAGATATTGTTTGGATGGGGTACCATTCTCAGCATGTGCAGGGGTCAAAAATAGCCCAACAAATTGGGCAAATGAGTGTATTAATAAACTAGCTGTACCTAAAGGCCTTGTGTAAGTGCCAACAGACTCACGTTGAACTTCTGCAGGATCTCGTATGTGGGTCTGTGGTACCACTCCTGGATGTTGATCTCGGGCTGCTGCTCCAGATCCGACGCGTTCGGAGTGCTTGTCTGGCGCTTCACCTTCGAGTGCTTCGGCAACTCCAGCTCCTCAAAGCTCTTAAACTCTGGAATCCTTTAAAGAAGACAAACACAACAAGCCGAACACTGAGCAGAGAGAAATAACAGCCCTTCACTTCACAAACGAGACACATCTGCAGATTAAAGACGCAGTTCAGGAAAACAATACTAATAAGAGAGAACGAACATTGGCAGCACTTGATGGCATTCACTGTTCACCATGTTAGCTGAATCCCCTTAAAGAGACTGTTTTAGAGTAACATCTCCCACTTTTCCCCACATGTAGCTGATCAGCGAAGACATGTTTGGTGTCTGAAAGTTGCTGTGGGGATAATAGGCAAATGAAGCTAACAAGTAATGGAAGCTTATAAGCCTGGTGCTAACTGCACGCATAAACCGTTACCCAGTTGCCTCAAACTGTGTGGAGTTACTAAGTAATCTCCAATAGACTTGCTTATGTGGTTCCTGACCAGTGGTGGACAGTAACTAAGTAAATGTAATTCGTTTCTGTACTTAAGTAGTTTTTTCCTGTATCTGTACTTTACTGAAGTTTTTCCATTTTGGGTGACTTTTTTACTTTCACTCCACTACATTTCAACGTCAAATATCTCACTTTTTCCTCCACTACATTATGAGAAATCTGTCGTTCCTTTTGGTTTATGTGTGTATAAAAATGTAACATGTCAAAACGAAAGAAGCGCGAAGCAAAAACACCAATCAGGGCACAGCGGTCACTTTGTTTTGAGCTTGTTTTGACCTGTTGGTCATACCGACCCAGTGCAAGCATACAGTTCAACATCAGAGCAGCAGCGTAAAATTTTGGGAGAGTCTGTTCAACATAAATGATGAACTAACCTAACTTTGTGTAAACAGACCACAATATAGAAATATGTACACATATGCAGTTGTGACTGACGTGTCTTTTTCTGAATTTATACAAACACATTTCATTTTATAGTAAATTAGTTTGGGCTAGTTTATGTTTATGAACAGAGACCTACAGATGCAGTTTAGTAAAGGAAACTCATTTGTGAATCTGAGTTTAAAGTTTTTATTAATCTTAAACTTGTAACTAAGTTTCAAATAAATCTTAAACTGAAACTTTGCTTGTCTGTAAAAAGTGATTTCAGAGCCACTCAGTTCTACCTAACAGAAACTGTTTGCCTTCAGTGTTTTGTGCTTATGATAATTTTAATAGACATCAGCGTCACTAATTAATGATTCTATTAAAAGACTGGTTTACCAAGAGAGACACTGGAGTATTTTCACCTAAAATGAGTTATTGAAGCGAGTCTTGTTATAAAAATGATAACAGGACATTAAAGTTATAAATAATCTTTTAGTACTTTCACTTTTGATACTTAAGTACATTTGAAGGCGAATACTTTTGTACTTTTACTCAAGTGGAGGTCTAAAGGGAGGAACTATTATCTATAAACATACGTCACATCGCTAAAAAGAGTAACAGCCATCCTGAAGCTTGAATTTTGTCTGTAATATTGTCCATTTTTAAAGATCTCAGTTAATGACTTACATATGCAGTTTGCACTGTGCTCAAGTTTCCCTTACTTGTTAGCTACATTAGCCTTGTAGCTTTATCACAAAATGAAAGAAGCAAACTTCAGACACCAAACGTGTTTTGGCTGATTGACCACATTTTGGGTGATTGGAGGCAAAAACGAGTCTCAAAACAACCAATTTAACATGGATAGTTTAAAGAAATAATATTAATATGAAGCTACACACCAAGAATGTTACAGCCAGGCCTTCAGTTCAGGTCATAAATGTCTAAACTCAGTCAAAAAATGAGAAAAACCTCATCTATGACAATGCTAATTTCTGCTAGCGGTCCTATTGGAATTGCACTAGCATGTTATCTAAGCTAACGCTGGTGCAAATGAACTTTTTTGGCCGTTTTAGATTAAACACAAACATTTGACGCTTGTATATTTTTCTGCTGCCGCTGTTTTCCATTCCTAACAACTGACTGAAACCTGCTTAGATTACGACTCATATTCAGTGAGTGACGTATCTAGAACATTCAGAAGGTCTACAGTGATGTTTTTCTCACTAAATTTGGACCCAATCAAAGCAGGATTGGTTGATTCCTCTGTCACTTCCCAATGACGCTGGTAGTTAATCTAACATGCAAGACCTTCAGTCCAGCTCCTGAAGTCCTAACCAATGGGAGAGCTCGCTCAGCTACCTAGATACCACAGAGAAACCAATCCTGACTGGACAGTTTTTTATTGGGTGTTTCAAGAATTGAACCCTTTTATTTCCAACCAAAACTTGATGACCAGTAAGAGTATTACTACAATATTTGCACAGTATAAATACAAACACGCATAATAATATTAAAGAAAAATGAACTAAAAATTACAGACATATTTTTAGTTCCCAGAAATCATCAGGCTTTTTATGAATAAACATAGTACTACGCTTAATGGCAGCATGTTAGCCATGTTAGCATATTCTGGCTGCAGGAATTCCATTAATTTTTCTGCATAGTTAGATGGTTGAGATGTAAACAGTCGTTCAGAGTGGTTTGGTGTGAAACGCTCTGTTCTAGAGAAACTTAGTCCACAGTGGTGGTGATAGGAACCAGACGTCCACCTCTAAAAGTTCCCTCACAGAAAGTTACTACATGAAATGGTTATGAATTCACTGCCTGATGACTGAGACACTGTTTTATGATAGTTTTGGCCTTAAACTCCATTCATGGTGGAGGGATACATAACATGCAGGCTGTTGTGAGGCAAAATAGTCCCTAAAGAAAACGTATCATTTCAGATTTTCCACTATTTTCCATCATCAACATTCCATATAAACTCAGAAGACTCGTGTAGGTTCACTGGTGGTTTTGGATAGTAAATAAAATGTCCATATTTGTGTTGTAGTCATGGCAACCCCTGGTTCCTATCACCACCACTGTAAAGAGATCTGAACCATTTCACACCAAACCGCTTTGAATCTCTCTGTTTACATCTCAATGAATTAATTATGCAGATAATATTGGTGGAATGTTTTAAGGAGGAGTGATACATAAATACAAACTCAGACAGAAAGTGTGGTTGCGGTGATTCTTACTCAGCCTCATTGACACGCAGGAAGTCCAGCTGTTCCACCACGGCTCCAGAGATCAGGGTCTGCAGGACAGCACGCAGCACAATTAGGAGCCAGGATGAAGAAAGCACTACCTGAGCAGATGGGCCGTCCGCATTACCGTGCTGCCCGTATCAGCCGGCCATATGGGAAGTGACTAAACACGCCAGCAGATAAATATTCAGCACAACACCAGGGACACGGCCCACACTGTGATTCCTGCCAACCTGCAGCCTTTCATACACTGGAGAGAGAGATATGGCAGCGCGACGCCCGGGCCATAATAATGAGAACCGGTGCGGCGCTGAGAATTCCTGATACCTGTGCTTGAGCTCGTCGCATCCTTTTTCATTGCAGCACGTAAACAATGTTAAAGTTTAAAACATACTATTCAATCTCCAGTCCAAACAGTTCATATACAGAAATAAAGCTGCAAAAACAGCCTGTTTTGAATTCACTGCTCTGATATAAACGTCACTGTCGGAAAAAAACCTTGTAACTTCTGAAGTGGTAACTTTATCCTCTTATTCTCCAGGGTATATTTTGGTTTGTCCATCTGAATTTTCATGAGGTAATCATAAGGTAAATTATTCAATAACTGCATGAAATAAATGTAAATTTTTATTTTATTTATTTTTGTAAAAGCTCCCCTCAAATTAACAGAACATGTGTTTTATGATACACATATTGCTGTATGCTTACAATTCACTGCTGAAAGCCAAAAATCTTAGACACTCTTTGTATTATTTTATAATAATAATGTTTACAGAGCAGATCACTGAAGAGACGCCATTCTGTTTATAGTTTATAGCCCAGATTTGTGGAAAAATGGGTCGACTTTCAGCAGAAAAAAAAATGTGAGTTCAGCTTCTTTTATTATAAGGGTTTAAAATTACATCACCCATCTATTTGACTGGAAAGAAGACAGTTACAGCTCTCATACGACCCCCACCTTTAGAATGTAGCGTATGAAATATGAAAGTTATGAAGAAAATGAGGAAGCGCGTTTTGGAATCACTGGTGGTCCCAAGGAGTTGAAGTTAAAGAAGAAGGAAAAAACTCCCCCCCACCCAAGTAATTTTGGACCATTTCTGTTTTTCTGCTCTTAATAAAATCTGCAGTTTTCAAATCATGCAAAAAAAGTTTAAAAAATGACAAAAATGAAGGTTTTTGAGTGACAGCAATGATGTATCCACCTATTCAGTCTCCAGCTGTTTAGCTCCGCCCATTCACACTGAAGTTATAAGGAGTGTTTCAGCCCAGACTGCTTTATTAAGGCATAATACAGGACAGCCAATCAGAACAGAGCTCATTTACATATGACAGTCTTAAAAGCGGTTGGAAAACAGACATGTAAAGCATTATTTTGGTAAAGAAAACCACAAAACATGATGACTGTGTGTCCTAATAACTCATCCAAAGATGCTAATGCTGACAATAATAAATAATTTAATAAATAATAAATACCGTCAAAAATGAGCCATGCAAATGACACCATGCTCATTGGTGGCTACTGGCTGCCTTTCACTGTTAGCCCCATTGGCAAGTGTGTTCAAACTACTCCTTTAATGGCGTTTTGAAGCTGGCCAAAGAGCAGGTCAAACAGAGCTAAACTGTGTTAGCCAAATGTCGCTAATACATGTAAAAATGCTGATTAATGGACACAAGGCTATGCATATTCAGATGAATGTGCTTCGTGAATAACATTTGAATACATTTGGCCACACTTATGATTATAAAGCAGGCTTAATGTTAATTGCGTTATAAGAAGCCCACCTGAAGGCGATCCACATGGACCTTCACCCCTCCGATGCTGCCCTTCTTGAATGAAGCCAGCATGTCCAGCACAGGGTTAAAACGGCTCCCCCTAGTGGTCAAAAGAGACCAAATGATGTACAAGCTCCACCCACAAACACGTTCTGTCATAGCTACTTATGGGAAGCTTTACGGAAGGCTGGTAAAAATCTCATTCAGCCTAATTAGAAACTATATATATATATATATATATATATATATATATATATATATATATATATATATATATATATATATGTATGTATGTATGTATACACAGAGAGCTGATACACAGCGTTAAAAAGCGAATGTTTGGTTGATTATACAATAAAAACTACACAAAACCTACCCTAACAGTGTGACTTTTTACATGCAAACAAAATAAAATATAATCTGAAACTGATAACAGACAGAAATGTAGGTAATTGATAGAAACTGAGGGCCAGATGTGCAAACGAGTGCATGTGTGGTGTTAAATGTGTCTTGATGCAACAACGATGGTTTTCCTTACAATGTAAAACTATCATGGAGTCAAAGCAGAGAAAGAGAGCCGATGTTTCTCTTCTGATTCCACTCAAACCATCACGTACTGTGCGATGCGGCAGAGCTCTCCACTGAAATGAACAGGGTGTGGCGAGGCGAACAGGAATTGCAAGTGGACACGTACCATAAGGCTGTATGTGTGTCAACACTTTCACATATCTTATGTTTTTTCAGGGTTATTTTCACTTAGAAAATCGACAATATGCGTAATTTGACCAGGGGTGTGCAAACTTATGCATCCATTATATTGTGTACTTTATTGCAACAAGGGAAATTTGTTATTTTGCTGCTTAACTGTGCCCAATCTGGGAGCAGCACAGCAGCGCCACCTGGGGTTTAAACGCAACCAGGTATACCTAATCAGTCGTGGGATTTGAACCCGCAACCTTCTGGTCGATGGCTCATCTCTCCTACCACTAAGCTACCGACCACCCCACATTTACAGCGCCTGGTATTCCCAGCCGGTGTCCCATCCAAGTATTAACCAGGCCCGACCCTGTTCAGCTTCTCTGATCAGACGCGATCGGGCGTTCTCAGAGAGGTATGGCTGTAAGCATGTAAGTACATCTGACTGATGTTCCTGTAAAGCTGAGCTGACGCTGCTGTAAAGGCTCAGTACATCTGACCCAGAGCTGCGCTACAGTTCCTCATTAGGGCTGAACGGGATGCCTGACTGTGCAGCAGTTAAAGGCCGTACTTAATGTTGTCCTCCCTGATGAGCACCAGGAACAGAGGCCGTCCGGGCATCTTCCAGCACTGCTTAATGAACTGCAGGGCGTTCTGAAAAAACATAACACAGCATCTTCAACACGCAAACATATTCATAATATCAGCAGAGCACTGCACACCGCATTAGCATAAACATGTACATATCAACACTGAACATTGTTGAAAAAATACATGGAAAACTGGCAGGATGAAGTTTCTACACTGCTACAAAACAGTGCAACAGTTTTTAATCACCTGTAATATTAATAATTAGTTATTTTTTTCAATAATCTATTTTATCTAATCAGTTATTTTAACAGTAATTTCTTGTTAATTTCTCCAGATTTAAATCACCACTTTTCAAATATGAGGGATTCTGGATATTACCTTCATTAGGACTAATATTTTTATTTTAGCTTATTTTTGGAAATAAATACATTATTAGAACTTCTTTCTTGATATTACTTTTATTTCGAACATCATCATTTTTTTAGAACTTTAATTTGGATGTTCATCTTATTAGAACTTAAATCAGGATATTAATTTATGAGAATTTAATTCTGAATATTAATTTCATTATCACGTCATTCAATCACCTGTAATATTAATAATCAGTTATTTTATTCCGTAAAGGGTTAGTGTTGTCTATTTTATCTAATCAGCTATGTTAATAGTAATTTCTTGTCAAGTTGTCCACTTTTCAAATATGAGGGATCCTGGATATTACTTTCACTAGGACTAATATTTTAACTAGCCTATTTTTGAAAATCAATATATTATTAGAACTTCTTACTTGATATGACATCATTCTGGATATTAATTTTGTTATACATTTATTTTGGATGTTCGTTTTATTGAAACTTAATTGTGGTTGTTAATTTATTAGAATTTATTTTAATTCTGAATGTTAATTTCATGATCACGACATTCTAGTTATTCATTTTTTAGAACTTTCTGGGCGTTAATTTATTCTGTATTAAGTTAATGATCATTTCAAGCATGACATCAATTTTATATTAATTTTTTATTTTTTTTAATTTCAGCTTGGAAATTATTTTTCACTATAACTTCACTGTGAATAGTAATTTTAATATTATAATTTCATTCTGGATATTATTTGTATTGTAACTTCATTCTAGACAACAGTTTTATGTGAATAACCTTATTCTGGATATTAATTGTATTGGATGCTCATTTTATTCTCACTTAATTCTTCATGTTCTACAGCTTTCTTGGTCATTTTAGGATCATCTGCTGTAATAACTTATTTGAAACTTGGCAGTAGCATCATTTTATACATTTATCTACAACAAAACTGGTTTTCTGTGACTAAAAACGATGAACTTTCTGAACAGCGACTCTAAACTGCAGAGAGCTGCTGTAGATCCAGACGGAGACTGAAGCTCTGAAAGCTCTGAGCTCTGAAAGCTCCACCGAGGCGCATCGTGCCAAATTCAATTCATCCCCCTCTCTGAAACAGGAGCTGATGAATGAGACGCTCGCAGACGCTCGCTTCGTTCTCTCACAGAGCAGCCAGTCGTGACATCACCTCGGCTCACCTTGATGTCATCGATCAGCAGCATGACGTCCTGAGACAGGTAGAAGTCACTGAGATCAAAGACGATCGGGTAGCAGACCACCGTCTTCCCCAAAATCCGATAAATCTTTACCAGAGAGAGAGAGAGAGAGAGAGAGAGAGAGAGAGAGAGAGAGAGACAGAGAGAGAGAGAGAGAGAGAGAGAGAGAGAGAGAGAGAGAGAGAGACAGAGACAGAGACAGAGACAGAGAGAGAGAGAGAGAGAGAGAGATGGGGGGGTGCAGAGCATCACACACAGTAAGATTGATGAGACGGCGTCTCAGATGTGAGCGTTTCTCTCAGACAGCAACTAAAACAAACCATCCAATCTGGACAGTAAAGAACCAAACCTGCTTTAGTACATCAGTCTTTAAACACACACACACACACACACACACACACACACACAGACACACATACAGACACACACACACATACACACACATACATACAGACACACAGACACACACACACACACACATACAGACACACACACACACATACACACACACACACACACACACACACACACACATCCATCATCTTTCAGTCTGACGCAGAACCCACAAACCTCTCAGCATGATCTAGAACCCTGTAGATACACCTGAACATTCAGAACTTTAAAGGTGAATATCATGTAAAATCTGACCATTATTTAATGTTTATTTTTCACTCTCTCTGAAGTTATGGGGAGTGTTGTTACAGCAACAGTTTGATGTTCAGCCCAGAATTGAAGGAGCCAATTGGAACATTAGTGATTCACATACATCACTGGGATAAAGAGAAGTTAGAAAACGGTCATGTAGGAAAGAACTGCAACAGTTTTGTGTACATTCACTCCCATGAACGACATTAGTGGACTTCAGGGAGGGGAAGAAAAGAAAAACTCAGAATTTGGTCTCTTAAACCTTTAGAGGAGGCTAACGCGAAGCCGACTCTGAGGTGGAGGCCGCGGCGGAGCGAAATTCCATTAATGACTGATTTTATCTTTCTGTGCCCTTCACGGAGAGACAAACACACACTGCAGACACACAGCAGGTGCAGAACCAGAGCTGAAAACGAAGGCCTGCTGATTTAAGGATCGGCTGCTTTCCAGCACATGATAAGCTGTAAACGTTAGAAGTCTTTATCTGTAATAATTTAAGGGTTAGATCAGCGCTGCAGCCCCGGACTGCTGACAGTAATCGCTCAGGTAATTAGCCTGTTCTGATTTGCTGCGGTGGTGAGAACCTGGCGCTGGTGGACACAAGACTGCGCTTTACTTTTGCATTGCTTACCAGTGTAGCAATGCTCAAAGGAACCATATGAAGACGGACAGCAGAGGCTAAGAGAGGCTTTTTTGATTTTTCCCCAATTTTCTCCCCAATTTACACACACATCATCTAAACCGCTTATCCTTCTGGGTTGTGTTGGGGCGCTGGAGCCTATCCCAGCTGTCACTGGGCAAAAGGCAGGATACACCCTGGACAGGTCGCCAGTCCATCGCAGGGCTCTCCCCAATTTAATCATCTCCAATTCCACCCACTAGTCAGGACTCCCCCAATCACACGACACTACTAGAGCTAGGAGGGTGAAGGTTAGAACAGGCTTCCTCCGAGACCCGTGAAGCGCCACCGTATCTTTCCAAACTGCCGCTAACACAACGTAACTGGACAGCCGAGCGCACTAGGAGGAAAGCGTCAACCACCAGATCTGTTATGATCTCCTGATGATGGGGTCAGCGCTTAGACGGCTGCACCACTCGGAAACCAATTTACGCATATTTTAACATACCAAACAAAAAAGACCCAATGCAAACTATAAATGGTGATCAAAAATCAAATTTCACATAAATCCTTACAGACCTGCCTTTTTTGCAGATAAAATGAAATTATGTGCCATCAGGCTAATGTTAGCTCGATAGCCTGACCCAAAAAAGTACATCCAGTCTATCGTAATAGTGCGAACTGACATAGAGACAAAATAAATAATGTCTGAAATTAATAATGCAGGTATGTTAATAAAAGAAAAAATCTGTTTCTTATTAGACCGAATGAGATTTTTCCCAGAATTCTGTAAATTTAGTCTACAAAAACAAATTTGTGAGCAGTGATCAATCAGACTCAGTCGTTAGATGATATTGATGTATTGATAACTCTTTCTTTTACAGACCCGTATGTTCTATATATTAACCAGGTAAGTATGAGGCACAAAGTCCAAAGTAATACATAATTATTACACTTAAATGCCCAATAGGTTCTAGATATGAACTGAATAAGTACGTGGTACAAACTCCACAATACTCTGTAATTATTTTGATAGTTTTATGATGTAAAAGACTGTAGATGATTAGAGCACAGAGTCGTATATACTGTGTACCTGTAATTTAGTTAAACTGTCTCGGAACTTAGTTATCTAGTACTTTGGTGTTTATACCACACACTTACTCAGCTAATATCTAGAACTTGTTCAGTATTTTAATGTAATTTAGTTAAACTGTCTTGGAGCTTACCATCCTGTTGCTCAAAATAATTATCTAGTACTTTGGAGTCCGGACTCCACAATTACTCAGTTAATATCTAGAACTTGTTCAGTATTTTAATGTAATTTAGTTAAACTGTCTTGGAACTTGCCAAAATGTTACCCAAATAGTTATCTAGTACTATGGATTTTGTACCCCACACTTACTCTGTTAATATCAAGAACCTGTTGAGCATTTCAGTGTAATTTAGTTGAACTGTTTTGAAACTTTTCCTCATGCTACCTAAAATAATTATCTAGTACTTTGAAGTTTGCACCACATACTTGTGCAGTTAATATCTAGAACTTGTTTAGCACTTTAATGTAATCTAGTTAAACTGTCTTGGAACGTACCACAACGTTACCCAAAATAGCTATCTAGTACTTGGGAGGTTGTATCCCACACTTACTCAGTAAATATCTAGGTAAACTGTCTTGGAACTTATGCTCATGTTACCCAAAATACTTATCTAGTCCTTTGGAGTTTAAACCTCACACCTACCTGGTTAATACCTAGCATATAAGTGACTGTAAACCAAAGCATTGTTCATTTATTTCGGTAAATAAGCAGCGACGTTGACCCTGGAGAGCAGTGGTCAGTGAGGAGCTTCTAACATGGGCATCAGAAGAACACTAGGCAGAAATGAATGAAGCGCTTCATCAGTAGATGAATCAGCGATGGGAGGTTTAGGCTGACATCACGTACCATCACGACCAGAGAACAGCAAACACTGCACCCGACCACCACGTCACTCAGAAACTCACACTGCAGTTAAACATCAACACTTAAACCACTTTATCACTTCTGTATCTAGAACCCCATTTCCAAAAAGTTGGGATGCTGTGCAGAATGTAGATAAAAATAGGATGCAGTGAAACACAAATCATGTTAACCATATTTTTAAAGGAAGACACTACAAACACAACATATCAAATGTTGAAACTGAAAAACGTCATTGTTTTTTGAAAAATATGAGGAGACACTGCTGTAGTTTTAAAAGTGAAATGTTTTCCTGTTCTTGTTTGATACAGGATTTCAGCTGCTCATCACTTCAAGGTCTCCTTTGCCATATCTCATAATGCGCCAAATGTTATCAGTGGTGACAGGTCTTGACTGCAGGCAGGTCAGTTTAGCAGCCTGACTCATTTAATACAGAGCAATGCTGCTGTAATACATGCAGAACGTGGTTTTACGTGGTCTTGCTGAAATAATCAAGGCCTTCCCTGAAAAAGACGTCGTCTGAATGGCAGCATATGTTGCCAAAACATGTATATATCAGTCAGCATTAATGGTGCCTTCACAGATGTGCAGGTCACCCATACCATGTGCACTAATGCCCCCCTATACCATCATGAATACTGGCTTTTAAACTGTGCCTGATAACAAGCTGAGTGGTCTTTAGCCCAGAGGACACAGTGTCCATGATTTCCGAAAAGAATTTCAAATGTTGATTCGTCGGACCACAGGACACTTTTCCGCTTCGCCTCAGTCCATTTTAAATGAACTCAGGCCCAGAGAAGGTGGCAGCATTTCTGGATCCTTTTTATTTGGTTTCTTCTTTGCATTTAAGGGTTTTAATTAGCATTTGTGGATGCAGTGATGAACTGTTTTCACAGACAGTGTTTTTCAGAAGTGTTTCTGAGCCCATGCAGTGATTTCCTCTACAGAATCATGTCTGTTTTTAATGCAGTGCCATCTGAGGGCCCAAAGATCACGGCCAGCCAATACTGGTTTTTGGCCTTGTCCCTTACATACAGAGATTTCTCCAGGAACCTTTTAAATTGAGAAACGTTATATATATAATTGTTGCACTATTTGATCGTGCAGTCTTTCACACAGTGGTGAACCCCTCCTCATCTTTACTTCTGAAAGACTCTCTGAGATGCTCCTTTATACCCATATCATGTTGCTGACCTGTTGTCAATCAACCACCTTTACCAGCCTTTTGTTGCCCCCGTCCCAACTTTTTTGGAAGGTGTTGGTGGCATCAGATTCAACATGGGCAAATATTTTTCTAAAAACAATAAAATTTCTCAGTTTCAACATTTGATTTGTTGTCTTTGTACTATTTTCAATTAAATACAGGGTTTAAATGATTTGAACATCATTGCATTTAGTTTTTATTCACAATTTGCACAGCGTCCCAACTTTTTTGGAAATGGGGTTGTATTATTTTTTTAAGTGAGAAGGTTATAAGTGCATTGAGGGAGAGTACTTTCTGACTTTTTACGCTTTTCTGGTACTGCCGTTCTTTTGGTTGCTTTTTCCGTTTTCTTATAACGCAAATATACGTATAAATATAAATAAATAAGCAAATAAACCATTATAACCCATGATACCATGGAGTTCAGGGACACTTTACAGCTCTTTGCCATTTTTAAAATAAAAATCCCCCCTTTTAGAGGCTGTGAGAGGAGAGGACAAGATAATACATCTCATTTAAATTAAACAGTAAGAATGTGCCCATCCAACAACACTGAATGCACATTATGGGTGGATCACACTTAAAGACCTCTCCACCACAACTCCTTAAACCACCCGAAGCGTTTAAACAGAAAAAGGCTCCAGAGGTGCTCTGAAATGGGTGAGGGGCTCTTCATTGTTGCCATGACAACACCTCTAAGACTTTCCCTTTATTGTCTGCAGCGTTTGTGAATTGGGAGGCAAACAAACAAGATGTTTATTTCATGTTGCTGAATCTTTATGAAATGTCTTTATTTCAGGTTGCTGCTGCCTCCCGAGTCCCACTCATCTGCTGTTCATGACTATCATTGATTTAAAAAAACAGAAGAACAGAGCGCGTCACTGCGTAACTTCAACTGGTCTCATTTTGGAGCAGTATCACTGTATAGTTGAATATAGTTCAACACCTGTATTGTTATTATGTATGTATTTACATATTACACACACACACAAACGCAAACACACACAAATAAAAGCCTGCCTGACTGCACTGTGCCAGCTGTAAAGTTTGGTGGAGGATGGATGATGATATGGGGCTGTTTTTCAGGGGTTGGTCTAGAACCCTTAGTTCCAGTGAAGGGGAATCTTAATGCTTCAGCACCAAGACATTTAGGACAACTGTACACTTCCAACTTTGTGGGAAGAACCTTTCCTGCTCCAGCATGACTGAGCCCCAGTGCACAAAGCAGCTCCATTAAGGCCTGACTGGGTGAGTTTGGTGTGGAAGAACTTGACTGGCCCTCACAGAGCCCTGACCTCAACCCCATCACACACCTTTGGGATGAACTAGAACGGAGATTGTAAGCCAAACCCTCCGTCCAACATCAGTGTCTGACCTCACAAATGCTCTTCTGGACGAACGAAAATTCCCACAGACACTCTCCAACATCTTGTAGAAGCTTCTGAGAAGAGTGGAAGCTGTTAGAGCTGCAAAGGGGGACCAGCTCCATATTAATGCCTATGGATTTAGAATGGGATTCATAAAAGCTCCTGTAGGTGTGATGAGTAGGTGTCCCAATACTTTTGTCCATACAGTGTATATACACACAGTGGTCAGAACATGCAGACACTGCTGATCTCACAGTATGTTGGCAATGAAAATGATGTTATTGTATTATTGAAGGTAACAAATACATTCTGATGAAGTTTATTCTGATCAGTCATATCTGTAACAACATGTCTGGCTTTCTTTGGGGTCAGATTTCCTTTCAGACCCACAGCGCTGAGTCGTCTTCTCACAGTGGAAGGATGGACAGAAACACCTGCGGATGTTTTCAGATCTGAAGCAGCTTGATTTTCTCCTCTCTCTCAGAGATGAAAGCTTTAAGTGCTGTTTATCTGATGGGGGCAGTTTTGGGGTCGACCAGCTCTTCCAGGTGGTTGTAAGGAGGAACACTTTCTCTGTCGCTTTTAATCGTTTTTTGAACTCCAGTTTTGGAAATTTCTGGGGTTTTTTTTAGGAATATCTTGTGCTTATACAGCCGTTTTGACTGGAAATGTAATTAATGAAGGGTCTCTGACTTTTGCACATTACTGTCTGACACTCTACTTACCTTACAAGTCCCAATGCAGCCCACTGGCCTTTCTGGACGCCCACTAAGCCCCAGCTTCTTGTTGACAGCCAGGAAGCGGTATGCCTGTAGAAACACATAAATAACTACACTTAGTATGTGCAACCTGATGCAGAACGTCCAGCTACACACTGATGCGCAGCGTCCAGCGCAGCCTGATGGCTGGACTTCTTCAGTGGACTCTCCACTGCAGGGGAAGACAGAAGGTAAGGCAGTGGGGTGAATGCTAACGGAGAAAAAGACAGCACGATCAATACAGCAATGCAGCACGTGGACCCAGGCAGGAGATACGCCTTCACTTTACACAGTAACCGAACGGCTATAGGGATGATTCACTGCTACCTGGTGCGATTTTCCCTCTCTCGTTTTCTCTCTTTCAGCCACTCGTGTGCAAACAAGCAACCGTGCATGCATACAGTCTGCGGCTACGCTAATTTACCCTTCCCCACCTATCAGCACAGCCAAGTCGCGCTATAAAAATCAATATTCTGCTGTCATGCCTCTGACTGCAGGAAACCAGTCGGTGCAAGGGTTTTGCTTTATGTGTACGCCGTCAGCATGCACTTGCATGCATTTCCTGCTTGCACTCGCGCCTCGCCACCACTAGATGGAGATCTGCATCTCTCGAGCGTTTGGAAAACCTGGGCCAAAAAAAAAAAAAGGAAAAACAGAATCAGTCTGCTCCTCATCGTGGAAGCAATATGCTTAAGCGGCCCATAACACGAGCCGGGTGTAAAGTGTGTGGAAGATAACAGGCATCGCAGAGAGGCGCGCTTGTTTGGTGTGATCTGTGAAGAACTGTGTGAGGAACAGCGGAGAGGAGAAAGGCGACCAGTGCAGCTTCTCCATCTCCATCTTATCAGAGACTCAGACAAATGTCACGCATGTTAAAGCGACAGTTTGGCAGAAAATCTACATTAACACAACTGCTCCCTTACTTCACATGCTTATGGGCTTCCTGCCACTGCATCTATACGCCTGGACAAAAAAGGGAGCACAGCAGGGAACGTTCTTCACAAGGCAGCCGAAGAACCTCCTACAGCAGACCCTGATGATGCAGTTCTGCAGAGCAATCATCGAGTCCATCTTCATCTACAACCAACTAGTTTGGCTCTTCCACCTAACAAGAATGAGCCAAACTCCAGCACACAATCAGGACAGTGGAGAGGATCAGCACTTTGCCAGTAATTCAGGATATCCACAATAGCAGGGTCAAGAAGCATGCTGACCCCCCCCCGCCTCATCCTGGACATCACCTCTTCCAGCTACTTTCCTCTGGTAGAAGATTCAGGGCCATCACAGCAGCACAGAGAGCATGCGGCTCTTTTACTGTCCTGTTGTGGCTCCACAGCTGAATTAGGTTTGTAGGTAAAAATAAAATAATCCACCTTTACAGTAAAATAAAGCTCTGCTGATCGTTCAACACAGTTTAACAATAAATGGTCTTAAACTCTGGAGTTAATGTAGAACTGCTAAGTCACCCTTTAACCCTGAAGATCAGCACAGACTGCTGGTCACCATAGCAACACAGACAACAGTCTCGTCTAGCTAGTAGCTAACGAAACAGCAAAGAGAGAGATTTAAGACGAACATCGATAATTTGGAGATTAATGGATTTATTTGTGTTTATAATCACTCCAGCTGGTTTCCTGATACGTTTAATCTGCAACGAGAAACTGAAACACTAAAAAGTCACGAGGCTGAAGTCAGTTTCTCATTTGAATTGTCCCGTTCCACCTTAAAAGGTGCTGTTACAGTCTGGTGCCTCAGATGCCATTTAAGGTGGAACGGAAAGATTCGAACAAGAAGCTGGTGAATGAGAAGCGACTTCAGCCTCATCAAAAAAGTCAAACGTTGAGAGACAATTTACAAGAAACTGTTCAACGTTTGAGGAAAAGTTTCCTGCTGGAGATGCGAGAAAAGCAGCTGTAGCTGAGCTAAAGCTTAAAGCAGATCAAAGTAAGTCTGCATTTTCATTTATATTATATTTTTTAGCCTATACTAGAACATCAGCACACACTGAGACAGATTTACAGCCAAGATGGTACAATGGATGTAAAATGTTGTGGTTCCCAAAATGGCCCTTCTTAACATTGCGGTTGCGACTCCTGTCTCAGATCCTGAACGTATGTACATATAATCTTTGTAGTCAAGTCAAGTTTATTTTTAGAAACCATCTGTTTTTACTCTCCTGACTTAGTAATAATACTTCTTTCGGTTTTAACCAAAAAAATCGTGCATAGTGCAGCTTTAAGAAATGTAAAAGCAAAAAACAAAGATTATAGCAAGTGCAATAAATACTGTGTCCCTCATAGCAGATTCCGCACACACTCAGGATAGCGTACAGCTGTGGTTCGGTGTCATCTTTGGTGTTACAAACCCCTGCAATGACTGTGATAACATACTGGTGTCTGTAAATGGCACTTTGTTACCATCCAACGGGCAGCTAGAGCAGAGCCACTGCACAAACACCACAGAGAGCAAAGAGCCTCAGAGAGCCAGAACGATTAGCATTCAACACACTCAGCAATCAGCCCAGCACAGGGCCTGCAGAGTTACTGGGCAGCACAGACAAAGAGAACAGCAGCAAGGGATTGAGTACTGGAGTGCATGCTGGTGTGGATTCATGGGCTCTGACAGTTATCAAACCACACTGCAGTAAATTGCTTGTTCTAGTGGCAGGTTTGACCACCCACATACACCCACTCACAGTCCCTGTCATTCTCTAACACACATACATGCACAGCCACCCACACGTCCACTCACTGGCCACTTTCTTGGAAACACTTAACTTGTACTTCCACTCACTGGACACCTTATTAGAAACATCTACCTTATACTTCCACTAACTGGCCACTTTTTTAGAAACGCCAACCTTGTTCTTCCACTCACTGGCCGCTTTATTAGAAACACCCACCTTGTACTTCTACTAACTGGCCAATTTATTAGAAACATCTACCTTGTGTGTCCACTCACTGGCCACTTTATTAGAAATACACACCTTGTGCTTCTACTAACTGGCCACTTTATTGGAAACACGTATCTTGTACTTCCACTCACTTGCCAATTTATTAGAAACACCCACCTTGTACTTCCACTCACTGGCCACTTTATTAGAAACACCCACCTTGTACTTCCACTCACTGGCCACTTTATTAGAAACACCCATCTTGTACTTCCACTCACTGGCCACTTTAATGGAAACACCCATCTTGTACTTCCACTCACTGGCCACTTTATTAGAAACACCCACCTTGTACTTAAACTCACTGGCCAATTTATTAGAAACACCCACCTTGTACTTCCACTCACTGGCCACTTTATTAGAAACACCCATCTTGTACTTCCACTCACTGGCCACTTTAATGGAAACACCCACCTTGTACTTCCACTCACTGGCCACTTTATTAGAAACACCCATCTTGTACTTCCACTCACTGGCCACTTTATTAGAAACACCCACCTTGTACTTCCACTCACTGGCCACTTTATTAGAAACACCCACCTTGTACTTCCACTCACTGGCCACTTTATTAGAAACACCCACCTTGTACTTCCACTCACTGGCCACTTTATTAGAAACACCCATCTTGTACTTCCACTCACTGGCCACTTTAATGGAAACACCCATCTTGTACTTCCACTCACTGGCCACTTTATTAGAAACACCCACCTTGTACTTAAACTCACTGGCCACTTTATTAGAAACACCCACCTTGTACTTCCACTCACTGGCCACTTTATTAGAAACACCCACCTTGTACTTCCACTCACTGGCCACTTTAATGGAAACACCCACCTTGTACTTCCACTCACTGGCCACTTTATTAGAAACACCCATCTTGTACTTCCACTCACTGGCCACTTTATTAGAAACACCCACCTTGTACTTCCACTCACTGGCCACTTTATTAGAAACACCCATCTTGTACTTCCACTCACTGGCCACTTTATTAGAAACACCCGCCTTGTACTTCCACTCACTGGCCACTTTATTAGAAACACCCGCCTTGTACTTCCACTCACTGGCCACTTTATTAGAAACACCCGCCTTGTACTTCCACTCACTGGCCACTTTATTAGAAACACCCACCTTGTACTTCCACTCACTGGCCACTTTATTAGAAACACCCACCTTGTACTTCCACTCACTGGCCACTTTAATGGAAACACCCACCTTGTACTTCCACTCACTGGCCACTTTATTAGAAACACCCACCCTGTACTTCCACTCACTGGCCACTTTATTAGAAACACCCGCCTTGTACTTCCACTCACTGGCCACTTTATTAGAAACACCCGCCTTGTACTTCCACTCACTGGCCACTTTATTAGAAACACCCGCCTTGTACTTCCACTCACTGGCCACTTTATTAGAAACACCTACCTTGTACTTCCACTCACTGGCCCTTACTCTTTCCTTATGCAAGTGAATTATCTTACTCATTATAACCTCGTCAGTAATATCTCCTAAAAAATTCATAACTTCTACTCAACAGCTAATAAATGAAGGGCGGTCTCTGATTTTGTACAGTACTGTATGTAGTGAGGATGTACTGCAGTGATGGACGTTTGACCCCTATAGGCCCTCTGCTCATGATTAAACTGATAATCAGAAGGCTAAAGCACATCATTAGCTATAATTCCTCGCACTGTACTGCTGGACTGCAGAGTACGTGATTGAGCGTCTCTCGCAATGAAAATGACTGTCAAGTGTATTTCGAGCGCTTTCGATCTGCCCGTAGCGCACTTGTTAGGGTCAGTTCGTTATGTAATATTTCAAGCGTGCCTGAAAGATCCTGACTGGCTGATCTACAGCTCTGATTGATTATCTGACACAACGCGCCGGCCGGCTCCGCCTGAGTGACTGATTGAAAACTCGTCCAATGAGCCTAATGCACTGGCTGTCAACGTGATTGACGGGCGATATGATTGGTGAAGTTGGTCTGATTGACGGATTGAGTGACAAGTCGTACCTTTACCAGCTCCTGCTGAGGCCAGATCTGAATGGGCTCCACCTGCTGGGGGGTCTGCGTCTGGATGCCATACGTGTTCAGGAAAACCTGCAACCTATAAACAAAATCAGAGTGTTTAACTTAAATATGGCATTTTTTCTGTTAATTTCAGTGCATGATTTTTAT